ATGATTATTTTCCTCGGAAATATTAAGTTATTATTATATAATAAATACACTTAGTAGCCTCTCTTTTACTGCAGTCTTCGACACAGTGCGTTGCCTATGGGTGTACCATGATATGACTGAGCCTACTAATAAAACCATCTGTTTTATGAATATGTAGCCACATTTTGAGTAACAATATCTTTTCACCAATCTCGGCCTGGTACGAGTACGAGAATCACCACACTTGTCGACGCAGAATCGGCTTGAGCCGCGCGAAAAAGAAGTTCTGCGTTTATATATGGTGACTCAACTGTGTTGTACTTCTTTGACCATATAATATAAGGAATATATTACTAACATAATAAATAAGAACTTTTCTTCAATAACTTTTAATAATTCATCAGATTTTACTTGCGTACAAAAATAAACATATTCAAATGGATCTAAACGGTGATAACTCTGTGCAGTAACAAAATACAGCACGTACGTACCTGTCCGATGCAAAACGCAGGAGCAGGGATGGAAGTCGTGGTTTCCCACGACTACGTTTCAACTTACTAAGTCACTAACCAAATGCAGATCTAAAAAGTCTCAGATAGTACAACCAAAAACATAAAAGTTTACTTTTGGTAATTTATTGTTTTGTGAAAAGTCATGGGACAAAAGTTGTTGTTCATGATGTTAGTAATGTAGTCCTACGAAGTTGTTAGTATTTTACAAAAAACAACCCTGTATATTTTGTATATTTTCATAATTTAAATACTGTATAGAGAAATGTTACAAGCGGTTTGTACTTCACGAACAACGTTGCTGTGCTTCTGTGTGGCTGAGTATGAAAAACTATTTATCTAACACAAAATGGCAACATTTTCGCGTTTTCCACTGTTACCTTCTACTCATGCAATTCCACAATTTAGGCACATCGAGCTAACAAAAATAGAGCCATCCCAGCACGCGCCCTCCAACTACAAAAAATCACTTTACGCCTATCACAAGACTACTGATTAACCTAAAAACGCCTGACTCTTAAAAATACACTTAATTATTCTTAAAAACTCTACTAAAATTACTACGAAAGCTATCCCATTTGGCTTCTTTCAAGTTGAACCATAATTATGTCTTGTCATATTCATATTACTATATTAAAAATGCCTCAATATGGTGTCGCTGCTACTATGACTCGTATAACATTCTATACAGTAAAAAACAAATTTTTAACTTACTTCTAGTAGTCATTTGAGCATGAGAGTAACCCTATTTAAAAAAATAAAAATATCCATTAATGAATTTCTACAAACTCCTGATTTTTATTAAAAAAGCATTTATTTATTTAGATAAAGCTACGCACGTGAAGTTCGGAATTTGAAGTCAAATAATAATAATGATTATGATTTACTATCTCAACACAAAGGAACAAAGACTAACAATGTCAAATGTAGTAAACCTCATGAAAAACTGCAGTCCGTACTAGGCAACAAGGCCTGTTAAATGGTGTTCTTTTTTTATTAGCAAGCTAGGGACAATTCTAACGAAAAAAAAACGCAGCAAAATTGGCGATGTCACAAATTAGAGTACAGTTAACAAGCTACACATATTGTAATAACAGAGTAGTTTCTAAAAAAAACTAGTGAAGAAAAACACTTTAATGTAGCATAGCAACTATGGTTGTTTTTCTCATAATTACCACTTAGTACTCTTGTCTACGATTCTTGTTCCACACTGCGTAATAGCATGACTCCGGAAAATAATACTCTGGCTATGACAATTAATATCTATGATGAAAGCGTACTGTGCTCCTAATGACATGAAACAATGTCTTCATATTCTTTTTTTTATCTATTGTGCTGTTTCTAGAAAAGAGTTTTCGTAATTAAGCGCTTTCATTTTCCCATCACTAAACACCTGAAAAATAGCGAATGGAACGGCGTCAAATCGCTGTGCTGTGGCATGGCAAGTGCCTCAGTCCACCTTGGTAGTTAACTAATGCTATCAGCGCAAAATCGGTGTAACTCACATTCATTTTTTTCTACATTGCTTTAAATGACACTAAAGTACATAATAATGGCATTTTTTCGAAAAACTTACTGAAAATCTGGAAAAATATAACTCGAAAGCTCATATAATATATTTATATAATCTTTCTCTTTATTTATATATATATCTCTCTTTTGAAGTTTTATTTAGCGTGAATTATAAAATAAAATTGTATAGCTAAAAGCAAGTTATACTAAAACGAGATTTAAAATTATTCATGAAAATGAAACAGCGAAAACACCAGAAAACACGAACCATAGGTAAAAAAAACTTTATAATGGCTCCATAGTTATCGCTTAGTATCTTCTACTTTTGATGTTTACTGTCAAATGTGGAAAAATATAGGAAAAATATTCGTAAAAATGGCTGGCTTGTAGGAGAGATGACTGGAAGAGGCTCCACCGACAAGAGTATAACTCTTAAGTTGATGATGATGATTAGGAAAAATATTTTAATGAAAAATGGGTTTTTTCATGACACAACACTTGTTACACTAGTACTAATGTCAACTCAAGTGAAGCAAGTATAAAGAGCTATATTTTCTTTTTTTGCATTTGCAATAAATACACAGGTGAATAATGATACTGTTAGATGGTGACATCCCATGGAAGTCTAATGTGGACACGCTTAACTACCACTACTACAATGCGACGTCTACCACTACTACAATGCTTTAACTTTGTCGTGGCCTGACTGTTGAGACCATTGTAAATTTCATTGTATAGACTTCATTTATAAGGCGTGTGATTCTGTATAGAACAATATTTGCAAAAGAAAAATTCTATTGCTATACCTGTATCTGTCGACACGTATTCTAAACCAAGGCAATTACAAGGCTATGAACTTACCACACGCGACAAGCTGACGTGTAGACGAAAGCTTATTACAATTTCGGTGTTTTAACGAAACCAAACGTTTTCATCAACCTCATCCTCTGTCACCGGATGTGGTAATTACCGCTTAATCATTTGTGAAGCGCGCAATATTAGATACCATCACGTCTACATTCAACCCATTGCAAGGCAATCGGGTAATACGCAGTCGTGCATGCTCTAGCCGCCATGGCGCCACATTCATGATACGATTTGCATTAAACGAAATAGAAAAACCATTACGAGTGCATTGAAATTTTCTATAGTGTTTGGGACTCGCTTACTGAATACTTCTATAAACTTCGTTTTGATTTAGGTTTAGAAAAACTGCAAACTAAGCAGTGAACGTAAACCTTTTTCTTCAACCAACAAATTACAGATTAATGACAAATGACCTTTACAAATGACACAATAATACGTTATTTTATAAAAAGTTTCCGTTTAACGTTTGGAAGCTCTGTTTCTTTTAAGTATTTTATAGTGCAAATCTTTGAAACAGATTAAGTATGTAAAGACACAAATTTCTCATTTAATTTATAATAAGTACTACTACAAAATACTAACCATAAATACTCATTAATACAAATACCTGTTCTTTTTTTGCTAATATTAATAATTGGTAGCTTTAAAATGCTCGCGTTCCTTCAAAGTTGTTGGAGCCGGAAAAATCACGCGTTCCGCATCTAGTTCCAGTCATGAAGTTCAGAGTAACGATTTTTTTTTTAAATATTAACAATCTTTTTCAAAGTGATAAGACAAACTTAATCAACACCCTACCCTGTAAGATTTTCAAATCAGAGCATTACTTAAAAATATGACATCGCCAATTACGCGCGCGGAATAATAGAAGAATGGCTATGCTTATAGGAGAAAACTGCTAATTTAAACACTCATCAATATATAAATGTATATAGTATATAGTATCTTATAAATTAACGTCATAGGTACATATCATCATACAGGATTTGCGAAAAATATTTTACTGAGATCTCTTCACACTTTCCTACTTTGTTCTGTCTCAATACTGTAACATATATTAGTGTATGTCTATATTAACTAATTGTTAACGTGTGTAAACTTAAGATCTATTTCACCGCTTGGTAGCATTGCAATAACAAACCGTACAGATACTGTTTGTAATAAATGTACGGAGCCTGTACTTTTTTGTTAATTAATTTTCAAGTACAAGTGGTGAAACAGTATCCCGGTGCAATAAATAAACACAAGACATAAATTATTCGTTCACCTTTTTTAAACGCGAGCGATGCACTTGTGTGCAGTTTGTTTCGTAAATCCCAAAACGCAATTTTACAATCCCAATCCATCTAATTCAATACCTTTCAAAGCAAACAACAATTTAAATCGGAAGACGAAATCAAATTATAAATTTTGGAAGACAATCACCGAAAATTAAAGATAAATAGCTAAACATATGGCTAACAATATTATAAAAAAATAAATAATAATAAACCTATATAAATAAATGCTATGTATATGGCATCCATTACAGTCGCGATCACTTTACAATCCTCTTGCGTTGAAACAATAACTCACTGCAGTCTCGAAACAAACTCGCACTTTGCTGGTGTCCAATGAGAAAAATGTTTGAGTTTCATGTATTATATGACTACTTACATCATACTATATCCGATATTACTACACAACATATTTCTTATAGCACAGGCAATATTAATAGTCTTAACCCGTTAACATACAATGTAATGTGGAATATTAGTCTTGCTAATGATAAAAACGATTATTTATATTTGCTTGTCTATTACAGACGAATGCATTCATTTTTTATTCCAGATTACCTTTAGATACACTGAGAAATCGGCCCTCCTACGTAAAGTATCGTATGTCGAAATTGCCAAGCATACATGATAGTGTTTTGAAGTTCTGAATTCACTGAAATGAGCATAACGCGTGACTTTAGCATTTCTCAATGTTATTCGACAAAGCTTGTTTACTCAGATAGAGTATTATAAAATCCTAGATATCGGTTAGATGATCTATGTTGATCTATTATATGACTCTTTCAGTAAATTCAGAACTTTAAAATGCTCCCCTGTAAACTTGGCAATTTCGACATACGCCACGGGGTCGAAATGTGCAGTAAATATAATAAACTCAAACATTTCCCTTATTGTACAAAATAAGTCGCACGCACAGTCTCTTATTGGGGCGATGCGGGCGTCGCTCGAAGGCCTCAAAAGAAGCCGATCAATTCCTACTCGATGTTCGTCCGTGGACCGTCGATTGGCATTGTGTGCAGGACCTCGTCCAGCAGCTGAAGTGCCCTGGAATCGACAGCGAATCAACTCAGCAAAATGAACGGCATTTCCGGATAAATCAAAACAGTCGGTGCGCATGTAGTGGAGTAAATACGCATTGTATTCAAAACTTCGTGGTTAAACTTTATCGCGACGTATAACAATGTTTTCACTGAATGACCACACGGACTTGTACCCCGATCAGCAAACTGATTTCAACTCATACATTGTCAAATGTTAACTTTAGAACGTAACTTTTTTAACTGCCTCCGTGGCCGAACGGTTACCATGCCGGACTGCCACGCAGAAGTCCCAGGTTCGATTCCCGGGCCGGAAGAAATATTTGTATGACCTACATTTATTTCTCTCGTGAGTTTGGGTGTAATTTGTGGTTGTCTATGTGTGTGTCCATGGCACCCGCGACACAGGGTTTCCCTAGTGCGGGGCTATGTTGAGTGTGTGCGTTATTATATTATTATTATTATTATTAATAGTTTGACAGGAGCACCAGAATATTCTGAATTTGTTTGAATGTAGTAGAACTCCTTGTGGACGAACGTCCAGGGAAGTCCTGCCACCGTACCTATTTCTATCGCCAAGCAGTAATATGAGTATCAATCCGTTCCGGTTTGGAAGAGTAAGGGGTGAAATTACAGGCACATGGAACTTATCAGCTTATGTCTTAGGGTAACGGGCGCGGTGGCAGTGCCCCTCAGATCTTGAAGCTCTGAGTAGTACTACAACTGTTATGGACAGCCGTGTCGCTTATCACCAGGCGCATGACTTGGAACTCTTTCACAAGACGCTCGACTGTTCCAGTTAATGATAGGAATAATTACAATTTGTCGCAACGCTAACGGATTTTTTAAGGAAAGTATCTTGGTGTCAGCATTGGTAGTATTTCTAGCGGACAACCGTGCTCAGAAGTTTTTTATTTAGATCACTACAAGATAACTGAGTAGGTTACTTTAGTGCACTCAATAGCAGTAAAACATACTTTACTGTATAACGATTTCTGCCCGGCAGCGGGACAAGTACGACACAGAACAGTCAATTACATAGATACTGCTTATTTTTTTTCTTTATTTTCACTTTCGCTTCGGGTATATTGCTCGTATGTTGTATTCATACGTCATTCGTATATTATATTCAGTTATTCGCAAAAAGGCGCGCAAACATGCGATCATTAAAATTTCAAAAAAAGAATCACATTCGAAGTTCCCGATCAGCACAAGAACAACGTGTTAACAGAGTGTTTACCAACCAAAAGTGTGTACCAACTATAGTCTCTTTAGAGATGTATGTTATGTTTTGGGACGTACAGGGGTTGAAGACAGTAAGTTGCCTTTAATATTGCATTTTTCGCAAAGGTAACGTTACTAGCTGGTACCCGTGACTTCGTCATTAAATTTATCAAACTTGGTTCAGCAGTTTAGGCGTCAAAACTCAAGAAATAGAGTTACTTGTGCATTTATAAAATTAGTTTGGATTTTTGGAAACTAATATCACAACTTTGAAACAAAGCAGATATTTGGTTCACCACAATCGCAGAGCTAGAATTAACAAATGAATTAGCAATGTGGCCACGGTGCTGGTAGGAGTCAATCATTATATTTACTCCTTGAAGAATATTCATTTCTGTCGGACACAGTCCATTGTTACCGAAATAATAGAATCAGAATGATAGCTGAACCTACTTGCACAGTCAGCAGCGCCCTGAACTTTGGCCTATTCTTATATATCTTGGGCGAACTGAAACTTATTACTGAATTACTGAAATTTAGAAAAGTATATTTTCTAATTTGAGTAACGTAAAATCTAACCCGGTATCATCTTAACCGCCGAGGCAAGACGGTTGTCAATTTGCACCATCTGAACAAAAAGTGAAGGCATGATGTTTTAATGTGAGGCCGAACAGTTATGTTACAGGAAACTATCTAATAAAATAACTTTCACTTCCATGTATCATCGCGGCCTTCAATGGCGTAAAAGCTTTTTTAAAAAAGAACATTTAAGAAATATACATTTTCATACAGAACAGCGTAAATGTTTCAAGTATATTATGATCCATCCAAGCGGCCGTCCTGGTAATTTTAATTCAAAGTTTTATATATGATTCTGTGTAATCACTAATCACCATGTTTTTTATACACTATAGTCCACCTCTGGATGCAGGTACAAACTTCTGCAGGTGTTTAAAACAGCAATATCATGAGAAGTAGCATCGTCATGTAAATGGCATTCGCATAAATCGACGACGCTCTTACACTCACAAAGCTTTACAGTAGAATATATTATTGTATAAACTTCGAACAACACAAACAAAAATTCCCTCGATCTAAGTGGACACGAACCAGCGTCCGTAGCCACGTCGGGGCCACAAAAAAACAGCTACAACCGAACACATTGGTAAGGCCTGTTGATTGGGTCTGTAGCTTAGGTAGTAAGAGCGGTGGCCCTAGTGTGGCAGAAGGCGCTGATTCGAGTCCACACACATAGCCCCGCACTAAGGAAACCCTGTTTCGCGGGTGCCACGCGTATACACAAATTACACCTAAACTCACGAGAGAAACAAATGTGGGCCATACAAATATTTCTCCCGGCCTGGGAATCGAACCCGTAAACTCTGCGTGTCAGACCAGTATTGTAACCGATCGGCCACAGAGGCAATATAATAATAAACTAGTGGAGCATTTTCACAAAATAAAAACAGTATGATATTCAATAAAATATAATGCAATATTATGTTAAAAAAAGTTCACAATTCGCTGAAACTTATATTTTGATAAAAAAAGAATAACGAAAAACTAAAACTTTACAAAACAAATATAGCGACATAATGTTATTGCACCCTGTAACGGTGACATTTGTGTTCTTTATCATCATTTTAATAATGGTAGCTTTCAAATGGGTACGTAACGAAACGCATGTCTACCGCAGTAACCACATTCTAACACGCAAAACTTTTCGCTTGCCCATTTAAATACCGTAAAAGAAGTCAACGTTCGCATTAGCTCTAGAAATTAGCTTTTTTTACCAGCTCAACTCTACTTTTTAATTGTATAGTTACCTGTGGAGATGCACCTCGACCCAGCAAGGCGTCTCTTTGATGGAGGTGCGCGGGTAGTCGGGGCCCCAGCCTTTGACGAATGACAGCCGCACAATGCACAGCCGGCGAAGGTCGTCCACCCCAATGCCCGCTGCTGCTGTCAAACCTAACGAAACATGTAGTTTTCATAACTGACAGTCCAAGTTGATTTTGACGCTGATGTATTGCTGTAATTACAAACTCATTATCTTTCGATTGTGTCAGACGACTTGTAAGTTCCATGGTCAGTATTAGCGACAGCTGATTGATAGGAGGTAGATAGTAAAAATCAGACCACACACGGTTTAGCTTAGTTTACTGTTATCAAAACAAAACGGTTTAACACGGTTTACTGTTATCAAAACAAAAATCCACACAAAGAGTTCAGAAGAAGTATACAGTTATATAGACAGGATGCATAAGCACAACTCCCATACCTTTTCCACCTGAGTTTTGCTCATAGTGACCTTCTCCATCAACATCTTGGTGATGCAGGAAGGCCACTATAGGCTGTGCGCGCACAGCAACCTTATAAGTTCAGGTTCTGACCCCATATCCCTATTTTCCTGATAAGTACCGGAGCTGTAGGCACACTCACTTCCTGTTGCGCATTGCACAACTAGCGGTTGCCACCGCTAAGCCGTCGACTCTGAGTCCACTACCAAATCTCCTCATAGGTGGCGGAGCTGTACGGCACGCTCACTTCCCGACGTCGAAAAACGACGTCTCTCCAGTTCCCAATAACCTAAGCGGCTGGAAGGACCAGAGGATATATAGCTTATCCTCTACTAGCTCTCCGGGCTAGTGCCGGAGATGCCAGTCGCAATGTCCTGCGACAATGTCCGGACATAGCTTCCAAATTAAAGGGCAACTCACGTGCCCCGCGCGTCTCCTAGCTTCAGTCCCTCAACTAGACCACTACTAAGACGCGGTAGCTGATCACGAGTCGGACGCCCCGGCCACACCCCACCGGGGCAGACAAACATGTCTGTCTCTGCAGCTAACCACAAACCCCAGCGAGTCCATACCCAAGTCCGGGTCCACTAGAGACGCCAAAGACGTATCACTGGCGGAGGGTTTGGCCCGGACGCCCGCTGTACCCTGGTCTTACTGTCGAGCCCGTAGTCTCTCAGGAAAACCCTATTTCTCGGGTCGGTAGATAGGGACCGGACACAAGCACAGAAGAAATAAAGAACTTAAAGAATTATATGCATGGAAGCAAATCGTATACAGAATATTAGAGAATAGCAGTAATACAATAAACGCGCCGCATCGAAGGTAGGTCTTATTCCAATTTCATGATGGGCCAGAATAATAGCGAGGGCTATGTAATTAGCACAGTCCTCAGATGCTGTGTCATGGATCCTTTTGACATGCTTTTTTTATTATTTGAACTTGAATTCATTATTCATATTTTGCATTTTTTCTTCTTTGTGTAATATATACTAAATTTGTGTTTTGCACGTCAAATAAAGCCGATTTTATTTTTATTTTACTTTATTTATTTTACTTTAAATCGATCTCGACAAGTTGTTATCTGCAAATGGTGACGATATGGATTTTTAGAGTACGCTATTTTGTATCGAGGGTTTTTAAATTTTAATTTTAATTCTGCATCTTCAAGCATCTCGCTTTAGTTTCTATACGTGGTACAGTCAGTGCATGCGAATGTTCTCAAGAATTTCTGTACTTGTGGTAATGTAATTTATTTTCTATAACTATTATATATTTTCTAGAACAGTCGTTTTCGTTAGTAATTATTGTATTGTAGCATAGTAATCTGACACAAACAATTTCTTATAGTACAGTGCACTATTCTTTGTACAAGTATACATGTGAGAGTCTGATTTCTGCTATCTTGTACACAAAAATGGGTTAAAATCTGAATTCAAGATGGAAGATGTGCTTACACTTGTTGACGGTGGGATGCGCGGGTTGGATGTGGCCAGCGACGGCGGCGGCCTGCGCCGCAGCTGCTGCCTGCGCCGTTACCGCCTGTGTCTGCATCTGACGGTGGCACTGCCGCAGATCAAACACCTGCAACATACGACATGAACTTTCCATTTATGGTATGAACTTCGTCTGTATTGATATAACATGTGCGTAGTCCAGTTCGTATTCCGCACCGTGGTCTATTACCACAATTGGTTATGGGAAGAATGGAGAGGGGAAATGCTTTAAAACTACTAAATAATAATATGCCTTTTTAAAAATCGACTTCAAAAGTATGTGAAATTAAATCTATTTGCCAAGTTATATTGAAATCGGAAACCGAATTCATCCCATAATTTGTCACCCTAGGAAGTGGATTTTCTTCAAATTGAATGGGATCACTAGTGACGTACCGTCTTTCCAATAAGTCTTCGAAATCGGTTAACAAATCGACTCATCCGTAGAACAAAGAGATCTTTGTGCAAGACTGTTTGTTCTCAGGATATAGTACATTTCGTTCGTTCTTCTTCCGTGTGGATGTCAGATCGATTGTTGTTCGATTTTATATTTCCGAAATGATATAAGATATATAAATTCTCAAAACACCTTTAAGTAGGCCTTAGTTTGAACAACGAAATTATTCTCGTAACGTATTTATTCTCTTTTCGCTGTATAATCACATCGGACTCTGTTCTTCGGATGCATCGTTCGGATGAGTCGAAATGTCGGAGTAATCGCGTAACACACACACAAAAAATACAGTCGAATTGAGAACCTCGCCCTTTTTGTGAAGCGAGTTAAAAGGTAACAGTGCACTTGTGTGTTTTATCATGTTACTTTGTATATCTCCTGCGATGATGAGAAACACACAAACTTCATTCATTTTTGTTGTGTTGTCGGTTCACCTCCTAAGCACTAGAACTAATGGAAAATTATATAATCTCACTCTTCAACAAACGTTCTGAAGACACAAGTAAATTTTGTGAAAACCTTAAATTAGGTGAATTGTGAGTTTTATACTCAAATTTTAATAAGTACTTTTACATTTCAGGTATGTAAAATTGTGTACATACCTTTATGCAAGCTGAGGGATAGATCTTGTGGACGGCGTCGCCAGGCGCACGTCCAGCTTCACGGTCCAAATAGTATGACTGCACGAAGACTGAGTGGTCCGAAAGACAACGCAACCACACGTCGCCCTCACCACGGAGGTCTAGTTGCACGCCTTTGCCGATGTGGAGCCTTCAATTATGACATGCGGTATCAAATAATTTTAACTACATACATACACATTATGTACATACACTTAGCGCCCAGTTACACGACGCGAAAGTTTTCGTGTGGCCGCCACGCGGCACATTAATGGCGAATCTGAATTATATTCACTAGGCAACAACGTTTCGATTCCACGGATTAATACAAACGTCGCGTCGCGTTTACCATAACAAGCCAGACTCGCCCACGCGCCCGGGACACTCATTTAAGTCAAAACGTAAAAGCTAATAAATAGAGGGTATTTTGCCGTGACAAAAAAAAAATATTAAATGTAAATAGTATTAGAAGTAGGTTGTTATTTTGTCGAGTATTAGATAATAGATAAATATAATAAGTCCAATTGTTAAGGACACTTTTTTATGCATGTGGTGTTTACCTTTAAGTAGCTGTGCATTAAGCTTAAACCCAAAACAGAATGTACCTAATAATAAGTATAAATGTAACAGTTGTTGGTGAACCAATAAATAAATAAAAAATAAAAAAATAAATTCGGTCTCTGAACAAGTGCACGCGATCGCTGCGCGGCGGCCACACGGTCTCCGCGCGTGGGCGTTCGTATCGAAGTATACGCTCTTAACTAAGGTACTACAATCCTGATACACATTTGTTGTCTCTCCAACAAACATCAATGCTTTCAAACAAGCTCTTCGGTTAATATCAAATGGTCGTATGGTTTATCATCAACAAATTGTTGGGATCGAGTCTCTAAAATGTTTGAAAGACAATTGGGGATTCTTCAACATGAAGGATTCATCTTTCAATGCAAGCGGTAAAAGTATTCAAAAATTTCCAATAGTGCAAGCTCCCTAGCGAAAAATAGCTTAACCTACTTAAAAGGCCAGCTTTTTACGAACTAGGCTTTCAAGGCTTCAGTCATAAGCATAATATGCTGTCATTTTAATTAGCACGGACAATGCACTCTTTAAAAAAGTCTTCATCTCAAATTCCTGGGTATAGTTCACTTTATTCTCTCCCTTAACGCCACCTGAACTTCCCACTAAATCTAAAGAGCGATCGGTGGTTTTATTATCATTTACATATACGGATTGTTTCATTTACAACGAGATTTTAATCAAACTACAGTCATCAAACTGTTACCTCGCACGTTCGCTCTGTTCAGTTCTGTGCACGTTGCTCAAGGCGCCGAGGCAGAATCTGTTACCACCCGAAGGATCCACATAGCCGTCCACCTGTTACAAAAAAAAAACATTACGTATTTCAGTATAGTAGAATAGAACAGGTTGCAATGGTGTACACACCCTTTATATAATGTTTATATATGCTTTTTTTCAAACAAAAAGCATAGAACATGTAAACTGCCAGAAACATGTAGCATTCGCGAAAATCTAAGAACACGACATGTTGAGACTTTTTGTGATATAACTCCACTAGTTTTTTTTATGATTATTGATACAAAGATCGAACATATAGAAAAACTTTTTTCGAGCCGATGGGGACTTTTTCCCACGAACATACTGCACTGTAGTATCGCTCTTACCAACTGAGATACGGATCAAATTATCGAGTTGTCGAAATTCTCCTGTATATTTGATCTTTCTACTGGAATTTTGGTCATTCTGCGCCGCTAGTTACATCTAGTGAGATATTTTAGAACCTCCATCACGATACGTTTCAATTAAAATATTGTTTTGATTCTTGATCAATATTATCTACCCCGACGTTCGATCGATAAATATTTTCAGTTCATCACTATCAGCTCCGTGCTTCATCCAATGCTGGAGAGGGATGTCTATACCTTTTAATAAAACGACCGGGCAAGCAAGAAATGGTTTTTTTATGATATCAAGCAACGGAACGAAAAAGTCGTGCACCCGGTGGCAAGCGACGCTCCATAACTTATTCCATAACAGTTGCAATGCCACTCAAATGATTTAAATCACAAAAATTTGAGGAGCATTGCCACTGCGCCCGTGACCATCACATGATACATAAGTTGACAAGTTACATGTGCATGTAATTGCACCACCCTTACAACCTTACTCTTCAAAACTGGAGAGCAGTAATGCTCGCATTACTACTTGGCGACAGAAATAGATAAGGTGGCAGTACTTCCCTGAACGAACTCTTTTACAAGGACCTATACTGCTGCGAAACTTAAAACTGGTTGCGAGACAGTTGGAGTTAATCTATCATCAAATTCGAAAGAAAAACAGTTCTGATCTATTTAGTACAAGGATAAAAAACACATGAGATAAACTTACTGTGACATTAGGTCGGCTGGATGGTACTTTGAAGGTCTCGCCGACTTGAGTGTCCAGCTCGAAATAGGCCACCGAGCACCAGTACTCCGGCGCCGGTTGGCTTGACAGAAGTCCTCCAGGGTTGCCGTTATCTGCCACATTAGAAAATATTAACGTTTTGTTCAGTTGCGAAATCAGACACGTCACGTTTCTCGAGGCGAGTCATTTTGTCTAGTAAAATCAGACCATATAGATATCTAAATAGAAATAGACCGCAAGTACCGCGATCTGCATGAAACTTTTCGTACCACCGATAACGTCACAAACGCTGTTTAGTGACGGAAACCCTCCTTCGGGGCTTAAGCGATTGATAAATCTTCGAATCTTCCATTTAAGATTTTAAATAACGATGTTTCAAATATTTGTTGATTATAAAAAGCCGTGAAATGTTAATATAGTAAAATAATACAAGAATAAGTTAATTATGACCTTTATCAAAACGTCTTATGAAAAAAATGTTGCACCGTTCAAAAATTTAAAATTAAATCTAAAAAAAACATAACGTTATAACGTGGAAATCACCACTGGCAACAACTGAGATTTTATTATCCCGCTTGTCACCACCTGCACCTTGATTTTGATGCCTCTCCCAATCGGAAACTGCGTCTCTCCCGAGTCGAGGCGCAAAATTGCGATTTGAATCAAAGAAATGGACGAATTTTTCGCGTATTCGACTCAACGTTTAACCACTATAAAAGCCGGGCGCATTCTGAAGCGTAGTAGCGGCAACAAATCGTTTTTATATTACAATGGGCACGCAAAGTAGGTACACTTTCGCCGGGTGTATTTACATATATGGTCTGTGATAGTAAATCATTTTCCATAATACTAGTGCGTTGACTAGGTTCGTCAAGTTACGAAATGAATGAAGACTAGCATCAATTCTTATTATTTTATGCGAATGTACCACTCATTCAGAAGTCTATTTCCGTTGGGAAGAACGGGCAATAAATTCAACGGCTGCTTCTTTCAGTGCCAACACAACACTCGTACCACAAACTTTAGAGTAACATTTCTCTTAACAGTACATTACGCAGGTTGGTTGTTCTTCACCAAAACACTGTCGCTATGACTAAGCTCTATGCAATGGGCGCGGAACCACTATAGAGCTTGTAGTTAAGAAGTTACTTTGCCTATTGTTTGATCACAAACTGGCTCTCTCTTTAAATTTTTCAAAACAACTTAATTTCGATCTAGCAAACAAAAATCTCAGCAGTTAATGAGACGAATAACAAAAGTGTATAACCACGTAAAATACGTGATTAACTTAAACTACTAAAAATCCCACGGCCTCGAGCCTAGAGAGACCTCGCGCCTTGAGGGTTCATAAAGCTCTGATTCGCGGAGATAAAGGATCGCCTGACTATTTTATCCAGCATACGTTAAATATTACACTCTTGATTCACAGACACTATATCACAATAATTTTAATAAATTTAAAAGCTTTGTTTGTTTCGAACGACAAGGTGAGCCGCCCACCGTCTAGTTACCCAGCCATGTCTATACTGAAATCAGTACCTACTGAACAACTGCCTTTTCACTCCATCGAACAAATCTATCTTATTATGTACTGTTCTAATGAGGTACTTGATATAATAATAATATATTGACTTTTTTATGGTGAACCGTAGTACTTTGAATAATTTAAGATACCTGCCTATTTTATATGTTAAAAGTGTCAGTTTCAATATCTTTTTATTCGAATTTCATATTCCCGTACTATATATTCAATACCTCACATGTCAATGAAAATACCATTTTTAAACTTTTTTTTCCTATCGAGTTCTTAGGTTTTCGCGATTGTTACACATAGGAAATGAAACTATTTTTCCGGATTTAAATCGCGTATATTTGTTTTTTCAAACAAACCGACGTTTCGGGCCCTTTACAGGTCCCATGGTCACGGTTGACTGTAACCATGACCATGGGACATGACTATGAAATAGTTTTTTTTTCCTTTTTTATGTATATTATAGGTTCTATATTTACAAGTAAAGAAATCATTTAGTGTTAAGTTTACTTTCAAACGTGGAACCTTTCAATTTTATATATATATATATATAATTATATCGAAAATATACCGACCACTTCCTTTATATTTACATATATATTATCTAGAAAGTATGAATAAAAGGCTAAGTCGAATCAAATCACGTGGTTCACAACTGTCTAATTTGGAATAAAGCCTGTATATGTATAAGACGTCCTTCAGCTCCTAAAATAACGCTCTCCCCGGGGGGCACGGAAACGTGACTTGATATTCCTAAGTCCATATTTCAAAGATACTTGATCAAATTTTACTGCTATTATAGTTCAAAATAAAACTATAATTATATTATACATAGTAATTCAATAATTTTAAGAAATATAAAATAAATGTGCAAACATTTTAACACCCGAACTCTTCGAAGCGCAGCGAGCGAAGTTTTCTTGACATTCATTCAAATTGCAATCTACGAACGGACTTACTTCTCCATTGTTCAACCGACAAGCGTGATATTTGAAACTAGCAGAAAAAAATACAATTGCACAGGACGTGAACAAAAAAATTTGAAAGAAAAGAATTTCTGTTGCGCTTTCATGTCATTACATGGAATCAACATTCCGCCTGATATTGCATAGCGGGAATTTTATTTTTCTTTTTTATGATAATGATGATGATGATGATGAACAAATCGTGCGCCTGGTGGTAAGCGACACGCCTATCCATAACAGTCGCAGTGCCGCTCAGAGCTTTAAATTACAAAGATCTGAGAGAACGAACGAACGAAAGAGAAAGAACTGCCACTGCGTCCGTCATCCCTAGACATAAGTTGACCAGTCCCATGTGCCGGTAATTTCACCAGCACCCTTACCCTTCAAAACTGGAATGCAGTAATGCTTACTAGAAATAAGTAAGGTGGCAGTACTTCCCTGGACGAACTCTTTCACAAGGAGCTTTGATGCTACTAAAACTATTAACCAGCGAGTTTCCAGACAGTAAGAGTAATTAGTAATAAGCAGGTGCAAGCTAAAAAGTTTCATGATGGATTATGACGTCTCAATCTTAGACGGTTTTCACGCCTATTATAAATAATATTCTGATGTTCTGATTCCAATTCGGTGAACAACGTTCTACCCCATATCATTATTTTCGTCGGGTCTCCAGCTTGTAGCCTCCATAACGTGCTATTATTAGTGGTTTGTTCTACAGTTTAATAGGGCGATGTGAAAGAGCAAAGATCCTTGAACTTATGAGCTAAACTTAAGAGCTGAGCTTAAGCTTAAGAGCTGGATTTGCACTTGGTAGGAAATGCGTTGAGAAAAGAGTTATTTCTTTAGTAGTATTAAAATAAATGGAAAATTTAAATAGGCTATTCAAAATCCAGAAAGTCTGAATTACAAACAAATTATTTTGACCTGGAATTTCCATAAAATCGTTATGAATTTTTAATACTATTTAAAGTAAAACGGCACGTAATCCCACGGTTGGAACCAATGCCATACAAAAGTATTGACAGATCAGATGTCAATGTTCTTCTGCATTCTTGCAATTTAATTAGCCAAATAAAATTAACATTTTGAATATTTTAGCGTTTAAGTGTTGCTGCTTTTTAGACTTTTTTAATATCGCAGTGTTGCTAGTAATTAATTTAACATATCTTCCACATTTTTGTTTTAAATAAATAAATAAATATAGCGGGTCACAATATTTTTTATTATTCTTTTGCTAAGCTCTTTATTTCATGCTTATATGTAGCAAAAAATTTGAGACTGGTTAAATTTTTCTGGAAATAAAGTACCAAGCTCCGTACTAACTTCGTACAAATGTTTTACTTGATATCTTAGTCGTTCGCTGAATAAATTTACTTTTAACCTCAACACACAGTTTTCGTACATCTGATATTAGCATGGGATCGTGGGGAGTGGCACATAAACTTGGGAGGAATATACCCAGCAGTGGGTGAAGTCAGGCTGTATATGATGACGATTATGTTATTATTACATAATTAATATAACATTTTGTTTAATTTGCCGCGTTCGTGCATTGCGTTTTCCTCGAATGCTGACTTACCAGTCAGAGAACGCTTTTAGCATTAAGTCCGCCTATTGTACCATTATGTGTTTAATAAACAAATTAATTAATTAAATGTAGACTCACAGTAATGATGATGGTGGGAAGGAGCGTCGACAGAAACCGGGGGCGCGGCGGGTGGTGGCGCCAAGCTTTGTGTGTATGTCAATGTATTGTTACCAGTCCATGTTCCTGTAACATCCGCTCAATTTAGCAAATACATTCCTAAAGTACATTGTCTGGCCGCAAACTTTGCCACTTTCTATATATCCAGTACCACAGAAATATTTTAATTAAACTAATTCACGAAATTAATCTAACCTAAAAGGCGAGAATAGGCACAGATCTTTAAAGTGTAACTCTGACGTGGTATAGACGGCAGCACATCAATCTATACAAGGACGGATCTTGTTCCGTTAGGTTTGTGCGGCAAAAGCTTGGTTTCAGTCAGCTGTAATTTTACCCATTAAAACAGAAACGTAGTATGGACTGTATAATAATAAAAATAATAACATGTAAAAATAAATCATTTGCAACGCAATTTTTACAATTACTCGAAACAACCAGATCAGAACCAATCGCAATTTTATTGATCCTAGCTGATTCTAGCATACAATATTTTTGACACAAGTTATCCATTTTTGTCCTTGATACATTGTTACATAAGGAATGTTGTATGTGACACTTCAAAAATTGTATACTTATTGAAACTATTGTTTTATATACATATATGTATATGTTACCGGAAATGTATGTAATCCGTCATTGTATACAATTTCTAGGAAATGTATGTAATTCCTAAAATCGCACGGAAATGTGTAAAATAAATTATATTAGACACATTTCCTAGGAAATCTATACATTTCCTAAATAGCAATCGGAAATGTAAAACATTTGAGATTTCAATGGGTACGCGGGGATAGCGGGGCGAGGGGAGGGTATTGCTTAACAGTCAGTCCGTACGCGCGTCGCAGTCCCTCTGGGCAGAAACGAATCGGATTGTTTAGGTTAAGGTAGGTTTTTTTTATACAAACGCGAAAGTCCCTCTGGGCAGAAACGAATTGGGCTATTTAGGTTAAGTTAGGTTTTTTTTTATACAAACGCGGAAGTCCCTCTGGGCAGAAACGAATCGGATTATTTAGATTAAGTTAGGTTCTTTTATACAAAAGCGGAAGTCCCTCTGGGCAATGAGTGCTTTAATAAAAAATATTATTCTCATTTTAATAACGTGTTTTATTACAGAAAGCATTATTTTTATACATTTCCTAATACGATATTGGAATTATATACAATTCCTAGGAATTGTACACATTTTCTAGGACATTTATGTAACAAATAGTTTTTGAAACAATATTTTATACATTTCCTAGATATCTTCGGAATTGTATACATTTCCTAGGATTTGTATACAATTCCTAGATTTCATATATTTCCGGTAACATATATACATTATACAGTACGTTTAGATTCATTATCCAGATTATTATGTTATTTGATTGTAACCACATTTGATCTTGTCGATTGTATACAAGAAATTACGATAATAAATATGTCGTTAGCGAATAATATAGACTAATAATTTGTTTTGCTTATAATGTTATTTGTATAAAGTAGGAACAGAATCGATGTTAAGACACGTCCTTGTAGAACACCAAGGGTTTCGATTCTAGGTAGAGGTTTAAAATCTAGCCATGTCAATAACGGCTGTTTGTCACAGTGTAGTGTTTTGCCAGATGGTTACATTTCTTAAATTTTTCGTAACGTTTGATCTTCCCACATAATATGTAAGATATTTTTCTTTTTAAGGCAATTTTCGTAACTTTTTAGGAAATTAAACTATATTTTTTAATGTAAATGCTAAATAGTTTACGAACACACCCAAATAGGACAACAAAATAACTCAATTTTATTTTTTTTATCTATAACTTTTGCACACATAAATGTAATTTTTCAAAGTCAAAGATTATTTATTCCATAGGTAAAATAAATTTACACTTGAAAACGTCGCATTTAAGCTACTGCTCGTTCACTACGCTGACCTCCCAGATAAGAACGAGCAAGAAACTCTAGAGATTGCTCTTTTCAAATAACTTAAATGCTATGGAATACACTTTGAATCAAATTTGAGTGGATTCTGGAGCCGTGTCGTCCTTCCATACATCTTTATCTAACACGTAGTCTTCAATTTTGTAATATGATTTTTCGATCAAAATAACGAAATGTGATTTCAGGTAACGAAATGTGATTTTCAACTCAAGGTCCCTGGCATCACCACGGCAACACTGATTGTGTAATCTGTTATTTGCGGCTCAATAGCGGATAATGGCATTAACGCAATGAAAACAAATCTGTTACTGTTCCAATAACGCTATTGTTGTTGACTATAGCCATTAACCAAGAAACCAAACATTACTTATAACAATAAGATAATAGGTAACAATAAAATTTAAAATGAGAAAAAGAACTGTATGTCGTGCACTGAAAGAATATAGTCGTAAGATTTACAAATCGTAGCATCGTCCAACCATTTTAAGTAGCACGATTTCTCACTCACAGCTATTTGGCTATTGCATACTCGTTAGTTCGCGCAACGCAATCGCGAAGCCGCAACAGCGGAATAGCAGTATAACCACAGCAGTTTAGATTGTTGTTCTATAATGAATTATACATTGCGTAAGAATAATGCATTACATTATCTGCTATTGTAATAATGACCACCTTTATTAAAATCAATTAATTCATTATTAGTTATTTTGGAAATCACAACGGGTTGTCGGTTTGTCAAATAGAACACTGTAAAGTGTATGTTTTGATGTCTTTGATTTATAAGGCAATCAATCACCATTTGTAGATTAAACGTGTGACGAAGTGTTTTTAAAGGAACAAAATTGTTATATTTGGTTTGTTTAAATTTCATCTAAAATTTTATTTGATTTAAATTCTACTGAAATCATTTGAATAATTATGTTAAGACTAAACATAAATTAAATATGGTGTTCTTAATATTGTAGGGTCTTAATTAAATACAGCAAATTAAAACCAACATCGTCACTAAACAACAAATCAACTTTAGGGAAAAAGTTTATGAAAATAAAATAAAATGTAGAAAAAGCGCTATTTTCGTTTAGTAAACGGTACTGGTCACAAAGTTACGATACCTCCAAGTTAGATATGAGCGCCGCGCTGGCGCACCGCCGCACCCGACAAATGCAATCGGCGCGCCGTTCAGTTCGATCAGGTGCTCCGATCATACGCACGCGCACGCTTCCGTATTTGAAAATTCCGTATATGGTTCCACCTCTATGTTGTGGATATTCCAAAGATTCGCACGAAGCGATACGCTTCCACATTTATATGGTGAACGGCTATGGAATGGAATTCCCTGCCTGCAGACTTGTTCCCTGAACGTCATAACGGGTATTTTCAAGGCGAAAGTGAATAAGTATTATTTAGGTGTGCACGCTCCATCGTCGACCTCATCGTGACTTTCCATCAGGTGATATGGAAGTCAAATGCGAGTTTACATTTAATTTAAAAAAAAATCTTAGAAAACTCATTTTCTGGCGTCGCCATTTTCACTACGCATACACAGTACGGAAGCGTAGTCTATTATCGGCGCTCATATCTACTCCAAGTACAGTAGTAAAACACTCGAGTTTATGGTTTCAAGTTAAACTACAGATATTACACTAAGGATACGGTAATGTTTACCTTGTTGGTGCTGGGTGCGTGGACTAGGCTGCGGCGCGGGACTCGTGGCGGCAAAACCATTCTGTTGGGTTGTATCGCCTGGCTGTGGGGACCCACAGATTGTACCGGCTGCAATAAAGTGTTCTTTAATTTCTCAGAGAATAACGTTTGAATCGCATTGTAAACGTGGAAATGCCAATCCCCGGTTATTATTGTATATTAACGTTGCCGATTCTACAAACGTAAACTTAGCAGTTATTCTTGTTGTGACCGAAGATATGTACTATTACAGGGAGTATTTTCCACAATATATACAATTACAGAAAGCTTTTACCTTAAGTTCAAAGAAGCAATACTCATAGACATATGGATAATACTACCATCTGAAATCCCGGAATTATAGTACCGATGTATTTTGTTCTATATTTTTGATGTGTAATTAGCAATTAATTTACTACGGTAGATATTTTATAATTGTAAGTAAAAATCTATTTTGTTTTGATTTTTTGTCTTTTTTTCTGAGGGAGGTGTTATCCACTCTATACGTATTACTAGATGTTTAGGTAAAATACACCGCCTATTGCGATCTCAGATAATGACAAGATCATAAAAATTCATGTGTCGGAATAATATAAGGCGTTCAAATAGACGTTCTTACTTGGCATAGTTTGCGTCATTTGTGTGTCAGTGGCAGTCTGCTCTGTTGTGAAGAAAGTGGAGTTGTTACTATCTATGAGCGGTGTCGTACCACCCGGCGACATATTCACAGGCATTGCAGCTGAAACATATTGTGATTTGACCAACTTGTATGTTGTAATTGACGTTCGGTAGCCGTGTTAGCTTTTCGCAGCTATCTTCCCATATTACAAATATATCCACAAAGCATGGCCAAAACATGACTTATATATATCCACTCGTGGTAGGACAAGCGCGGTGAATATACTTATTGAAGATCTTATTTGTCATATTTGGCAAATATAAGCAACTAACCAATGTATTTCGATAGTATTACAATTATTCTCGGATTCTAAATGTTTTATCGTGTCACCTACAAGCACGCTCGCGTCCTTACCTAACTCAGCAATGGCCCACTGAAACCCAGCGTAGTAACTCCTTGTCAACAGTACAGCTTAGCCGAGTGAGTTCCAATCACATAGTAAAACTTATGGCTATGTCCCTGTTAATTGGTTTTATTACTTTTGTGATTGTGTTTAGTGAATTGAGCGCCTTCAAATTAGACGCTTGTAGAACCGCTGCAGTGACGCAACCGCGCCACTTCTTGTTTTCATACAATATTTAGGAGCGCAGTTGCAGCGCCACTCACGCGATACTTTTACAGAGTAGATATTATATGAAAATTAGTAGTGACCACAGAATTCTATCAGCGTCTAATCTGAAGGCGCCCTTAATATAATCTCATGTCCTGCTGTATTGTGAATAGTTGAATCATTTTTCTACATGAAAACTACTACGCAGCACGTGACCAGCCGTCATTTAAGGTATATATTCACACAAATAAACATGCGATTACGCAAGCATAAGTATAAGTGTGCACTACAATATAGGTGCAAAATAAAATTATAAGCTTACAATGGTTCATTCTTTTAGGCAGCCACATCGCTCGCGCGTCCATTGTATCTGGAGGCTCTAGTTTAGGTGCTATAGCTCTTTGCTGGGCCATCGCCAGTTGCTGCGGAGACGACATCGGCATCCCTTGAGTTATAGTTGGCATCTGGGGCGTCCCCGGTGACATCTGATTTGGCGCTGAGGCCATACGTGGCGAAGCCATCTGCGGCACGCTTGTTCCCATCTGTGGCGTACCCGGAACCATCTGAGGAGTACCTGGTCCCATTTGTGGTGTACCTGGACCCATCTGAGGTGTACCCGGACCCATCTGAGGCGTACCCGGACCCATCTGAGGCGTAGCCGGACCCATTTGAGGTGTACCTGGACCAATCTGTGGTGTACCGGGTCCCATTAGTGGCGTACCAGGGCCCGTCTGTGATGTGCCTGACATATGATTGCCGGCAGGGTGATTAGTCATCAATTGTGGTCCAGCAGGCGAATGCCCCATTTGCGACTGGGCTCCCGGCGGCCTTATGGGAGCCCGTGGTCCATGTGTCGGCGAAAACATGTTCGAAACGCCTTCCGGCGCTAATAACAAACGAGAAAATGCAAAAAAAAAAATTAGCATGCATCGCAAATAAAAAATAAAAATCACTTGACCTAATGAAAAAGAAATAAACAGGAATTACACGAGTATAATAAAAATATCTTACTTTGGGCCTGATTGATGATAATGTTTGTGGGTTGGAATTGTTGGTGGTGGTGAGGTATGGTGGAGTGGTGATGACGCGGACTAGTGGCGTGATGCTGAATAGTGACCATCTCGCCTGTGTCCATTTCCATGCCATTGCCACTGATCCCGGCAGTATATTCGTCTTTGACAAGTCTGCTAGACCCTGATTGCAGCGTGAGCCCAGAGAGATCTGGAATCAGGGAATTGAGACACGACATTTTTGTAGCGTTGTACACGTTTGGCAAATGAATATAAGAGTCATTTTCGAAAGACGTCAAAAAATTTGTCCCTTTCAATGACTTTGCTACAAAATATTTATTTAAAATGATTAGTTGTTTACTTAGTCTAGGAAACGCATCTAGATAATAACTTTGCTGTGCTATAGTAATATATAAAATTTTTAAAACTGGGTAATGTCTCATTCATGACACCCGGTTCACGTCTTCTCTAGTTAATGAAATAAGGAATAAAAAATGACGTGGAAACCACAATTTCTCTCATCGAAGTTATCTTGAACAACTTTTACGTCGAATATTTTACACACAGAACTTTCCAGTTTATAATAAACAAAAATGTTTCTTGGGCATTTAAAATGTGTTCACATTTTTCGTATCATTAGTGTAACCTCAACTGGAAACCGCCTGATAGCAAAAGTAAATACCGCATCATCTTCACCTTTAACACACGCGAGAAAGGTATGCTGTCAGTGTTCATAGTGAGCGAACCTGGAAGAAACCAACTTAAATACCAATTTCAGTGCTTGGAACAAAATTTTTATCATTCATGTAATGTCATATATCTAAATGTCGTATAAACTTTATTGTACATCAATTAGACAAAGAGAACTTCAAAATCCAAGCACTTGTCACAATGTTCTGTAATATTTTACGCATTGAGAATCACAAATGTATTCAAATTTCATTAGTGTAAATTATAAGTGTGGTTTAAAAGATAACATTAATGAAAACGACACTAATAATTTGATAAGATCTTTTAACTAGTTTCCAGCTTACAGAATTCCTATTGGCTTCGGAACATGAATAAGCGATTTTCTGAGGGACAGGTCAATCGTCTTGTCCAGTAAGAGTAATGCACCTCCGGGATCTGTCCTCTCCGTTACACGTTTTTGCTGCACTTTAATAACCTGCTGCTGGTGTCCGACATTTTTAATATCCAAAGGACAGAACAGTGGTGGCTACTTATATTTCAGAATACCATACCAACAGCAAAAAGGTCCTGTACGCCTGATATCGGTTTCCAATTGAAGAGACGCGAACAGGGTCAGGTTTAATGACACCAAAATGTAGGCGTGCCTTTTCTCTACAAAACGGAGTGCGCTACATTTCACTATAACTATCCGACACATTTCTGACTCGATAAGTGACTACGTTGAGGTACTTGTTTTGAATTTATTATCCACCGCAACTTTGGTAGCCACATCAAAGTATTTGGTGAATATTGGTGCCAAATACTTAGGCAACTATCTCCATGGCCGAACGGTTACCATGCCGGACAGCCACGCAGAGGTCTCAGGTTCGATTCCCGGGCCGGGAGAAATATTTGTACGGCCTACATTTATTTCTCTCGTGAATTTGGGCGTAATTTGTGGTTGCCTATGTGTGTATCCATGGCACCCGTGACACAGGGTTTCCCTAGTGCGGGGCTGTGTTGAGTGTGTGCGTTATTATTATTATCCTTTTGAATGTCATGTAAACTATACACCAGATCTTTATAAGCATAAGTTAGCTCAAATATGAAATACTACTGTCGCCTTTGAGACGGCTTTGCCCGATACGTTAACTGCCTTGGACTCAGTAAAGCAATAATCTCAGTACAGAGTACTAAAAAAACCAACCTCAAAAGTACGTGGAATTACATCTATTTGCCAAGTTCGCCAAGTTGCCAAGTGCGCAAACTCATCCCGTAGTTCGCCACTATACGGAACTTGACACTGGAGATAATAAAAATCGGTGCTCACTACTCAAAGTATATTGCGAGGAAAACGCCTTGAATTAGAGAATAGCAAAATCAACCATTAAAATAATTAATTAATAATTGCTCCTTATAATAAAATTTAGGCGATATTTATAAAAATGAATCTTCATGCGTGAACAGCCACCCTTGGAGGCGGATGATTTTCTTCAAAATTAAATGGGACCACTATGGAGGTACCCTCTTTCCAACAAAAAAGAATCATCAAAATCGGTTCACAAATACCGCAATTATCGCGTAACATTCATACAAAAAAAAACATACAGTCGAATTGAGAAACTCCTTATTTTTTTGAAGTCGGTTAAAAAGTAAAGAGATTCTTCATTTGGGTTTATGAGAAAATCATTAGTGTTACCGCAAACTCATTCGTTGACCGTAAATATAGTTTTTTGTTAGATTTCACTTCAATATTTGTGTGATTTTATAATTGTTGACGTTATTTTTACTCATACGTTTAAAACCTTAAAACCGAGAGAAAAAAGGGGTTTAACAAAAATCACTCAAACGTGCTTTGATGTGATTTCGGCAGTGATACCGACCCATAACTGAAAATGGCTAAATAAAATATTTTTTATGCGGAAAGGTGTAACAGGTAAGAGGTTCTACGACCTAATCAATGGAAGTAGGTCGGTATCCGGATTTTAAACAGACCGCGGCATGTATCAGACATACAAATATATATAAACAGTGTGACCTAAATACGCGCACTGATGTTGAAGAAGCTGTCTATTCCATTATGCAGATATTACAAAAGCAACTGAGAATAGATAATCGCGATTATCAACTACCTGGTGCTAAAGGCTAAGTGTTGAGTAAATGGTTGCGTAATGTTATATACTCGTAAATAGATATAATTTGTTGTGTTCAGTAATAAATACTATATTGAAGATAGATAATGATGTGGATGCCGTTGTGTTTAGAATTATGCATCTTAGTAATTATTTACACATCTGTATTTTCTAGGATATGAGATCTAATCTACACTAAAATACACAATTATAATTATTTCTCTTTTCTCAGCTCTTTGGCTTGTAAATGTGGTTAAAATTTAAAGACCAAAGCCATGAGAACGCAGCTTATGTTGTATACTGATGTTGAGGATCTGTTGTGATGTGAATCTATTTCGTTTTCTTCTTTCTACATGAGCCTTTGGACGATTCGACATGTGTTGAAGACTGCAACTTTTTATAATGTGGAGGGTTTCTTTTAGACTCGTTAGACAACTTGAGTCTATGGAGCTGTTGATAGCGACTGTTGTAGAGAAGACTATGTATAATAAATGTTGTAAGACCCTTAAAGAAAGTTGAACCACGTATCCTTCCCATTATTACCATTATTTTCTTGTATGGGCCCTTGCCCTTGAACCTGATAATTAAGGAGATATTGAGAAGTTGTTTTCATGCATTTACGGAATCTAAACTTTCTCATACGCAAATATTATAATTTTTCTTCAATTACAAGTAAACGAGACGCTTGAAACTAAAAAACCTCAATGAATATCGTACGCACGCATGATGCGGCCGCCGCTTTACAATGCAAGTCACGCACACAAACGAACGCAGGTGAACGCACTTAGACGCGATCGCTCATTTGTGTGCCACAAACAAGCATGTCCTCTATTAACTAGAACCTAAATAAACTTCAGTACAGTATATTTATTTTTTTCTTTTAAACAATTATAAAACAGAAAGATAGAAAAACGATCCAAATCCAGCCGAACTCCGCGCGCTGGGTCCGAGAATGGCGCGCGGGGAGTGCCGCGGAGATTCAAAACTCGCTTTCAAGTTTGCTTTAAGAATCAAGCGTTGGTTTGTTGATGTCACGTTACCTCTCGCGTTGTGTAGTGTTTGTATTATATCGACTCCTCCTACGTAAAGTATCGTATGTCGAAATTGCCAAGTTTACAGAGGAGCGTTTTAAAGATCTGAATTCTCTGAAATGAGCTTAACACTTAACTAGCATTTCTCAGTTTGGCACTTTGGACATACGATACTTTTCGCAGGTGGGGTCGATATATGTGAGTGCTGACGGATAAGAAAAGAAATTACGAAGATGCCCCGGCATTCATTTGGTGTTCGCGACTGTCGCGACAATAACATGGTTTTGTGTTACGGCAGAGCCCATAGTATGGTGAGCCCATCGAGTATATTTATATACTAAGGGTGCAGTGCAGGTGAAATTATAGGCACACGAGACTTATTAACCTATCTATCATTTGGCCAATATTAGTCATTATGAAAATGTTAGTTAATAAAGATGAATTGCGAGTGCTGGTGGAAGCTAATAAAAAAAGAGAGAAACAAAAATCATTGCGCATTGTTTTCATTAAGCAATAAGGCACACAGAAATTATTTTGGACATTGTTTGTGAGTTCTCGAATTAATAGTTGACACATTCACCATTTAATAACTTTCATTGTTTCAAGTAGATCTCCTTTAAACGTTCAATGAGGTAATAATTAGATAAGTTACATTTTCTACATTCTTTTTTTATGATACAAAGTTACGACAGGACCGTCGAGTTGTGTGCTTGGTGGAAAGCAACACGCCTTTCCATACAGTCGCAGTGCCACTGAGAGCTTTAAATGGCAAAGACTTGAGGGGCACTGTCACATTGCCCGTCACCATGAAACGTAAGTTTGAAAGTCCCATGTGCCTGTAATTTCACCAGCCCCCTTGCCCTTCCAAACCGGAGCGCAGTAATGCTTGGCGGTAGAAGTAGGTAAGGTGGCAGTACTTCTCTGGACGAACTATTTCACAAGGAACTCTACTGATACTAGATGTGCCACTGTTTTCAAAATTCTGTATAGTGTTATTTAGTGCGGTTTAATACGATTAAACATTCATAAGCAATTTCACAATAATCGCGACTCTTTAGCCGTAAGCGTTTGTGAGATGTTTTGTCAGGAGGAAAGTTTTTTTATTCTTGACTACTCATGTCACAAGTACTGGATGTGGGCAGTTCCGCTTTTTAACAGACTTCAAAAAAAGAGGTCCCCAATTGGACTGTATATTTTTTGGGTGTATGTATATTAAGCGATAACTCCGACGTTTATATTCATGGATTTCGATGATTCTTTTTTGTTGGAAAGGGGGTTCCTCAATAGTGGTCCCATTCAAATTTGAAGAAAATATTCCACTTCTAAGGGTGGCAAATTAGTTTATTGGATTTCACCCATTTTCCGTTAACCAATTTCGATCAAATTTGGCAAATAGATGTGGTCCCACAAATTGTTGAGGTCTTTTTTTTATAAAAAAAGTTATTTCGGCCTTGATGTAATTAATGTGCGAAACTACACGACGATAGTATAGAAGTACATGAAACATTGCATTCCCATTCAAGTTCCCTATATCGTTAAGATACACGAAACGACGTATGGTAGTCGTATTTCAGTAATAAAAATATGATCCGGTGGATAAAACCGACTTGGTAACTCGAGTCTACATAAACCAATCACGCCGAACACACAGGATGTGTTTACCACCCATTCCATAACAAACGGTCTTGAAATATTTCGCGCCTTTTTCTTCTAACAAGTATTCCCCAAATGTACCTTGATAACTTTATCGAGGCATCGAAAATTTTTTTTTTTAAAACCATTTGTATTTGATGCGGAAATACCGTGCCAATCTCACAAGTTCCCTTAAACAAAAGTTCTAGGACTCTAATAACATCTCTGTTAAATCCAGTGTAGTTATGATAACGTAGCGATTAATGCTGACGACTATACAATTGATTAATAGATTCGACGTTACTTCGCGGAAGTCCGTCTTAATAAAAATGGAAGTAAATTAATTTGCTACTCCGCGAGCCCAGTGAAGGTTAAATCATGCAAAATAGCTACGCTGCATAATGGCTGTGCTTGTGTTGAATATTTCTTTCTTGCAGATAATTTTCTCACCCGCCCTCCGCATAAAATTAATAAAATATAACACGAGCGCAGCTATTTTGCACAGTAGCAAATTAATTAGCCGACTTCAAAAAAGGAGAAGGTTCTCAATTCGACTATATGTTTTTTTTGTATGTATGTTACGCGATAGCTCCGGTATTTGTGAACCGATTTTCATGATTCTTTTTTGTTGGAAAGAGGGTACCTCCATAGTGGTCCCATTTCATTTTGAAGAAAATCATCTACCTCTAAGGATGATCACGCATGAACATTCATTTTTATAAATAGCGCCTAAATTTTACTTGAGGAGCAACTATTTTAATGGTTGGTTTTGCTATTCTCCAATTCAAGGCGTTTTTCTCTCTCAATATACTTTGAGTAGTGAGAACCGATTTTTATTATCTCTTGTGTCAAGTCCTGTATAGCGGTGAACTAGGGGATATTTCAATAGAAATTGGCAAATAGATGTTATTCCACGTACTTTTGAGGTCGGTTTTTTTAGTACTCTGTACTGAGATTATTTACTTCCATTTTTACTGACTACACAATTTCTCTACGTACCAATCCCTGGCGAGACAACCCTCTCGTAGTGATAAGGGTTGACGCAGACGGAGTCGCACTTCAAGTCGAACGCGAACTGGCAGAATTTGACATGCTTGAGTTCGTTCTTGTGAAGATCCGGCCAGCGCCAAATGCGCGCATAGATCACATGTGGGAAACCTTTGCGGCCTGCCACCTGGTGGAAGAAACAATGGTGTGTTACATATACGTACCATCATCCACATATATCGCAAATAAAACCAAATACTGTCGTAAATTAAAAAATTTGGAATTGGAATATGGCAACTACGTTTTGTAAGTAAAAAAAATGACTGAATGAAAGCAATAAGGTTATATTGTCATTTATACGTATCCAGACCGATACTCAGTGGTTGTGGATGACCCACTGGGTACCTCCGAAATTGTCTGGAAAAAGCTATATCAGTACACTCCCCACACGATCAAGGCGTGAGTGGTATGAGAGGGATGTGGCGAAGCAGGTTAGCAGATTGGGACGAAATGCGCCGTTTTTTTGCTTCATATCCCTGACAGGCTTGGTTTTCTTCATGAGACTCGTCGAGCTGTACTGATGCTGTAGTCGAGGTCTTGCGTTTGTGTCAAGAGTATTACATACCACACTTGGATGTACCCAATGAACCCACGATTTAGCGCTGACTGTAGTCGTGCTGAAGAACAAAAACAGTCCGCGTACCAAGCTTGGGCAGACGCTTGACTACACAAAGCTCCGAATTTTCGGAACCTGAAGAAAGAATTCAATAACGCCGCCAAGATGTGCAAAAGCGTGTTACGCAGGACCAAGCTCGACCATTTGCGCCGTGTATGGGCCAAACTTGCCTCTTTTCCAGGAGGCAGCAAGTCCTTTTGGTCCCTAGCCAAAATGACGAAACTAACTTTAGTAGCCCTTCTTTACCACCTCTGCTAAGGTCGGATGACCCGCTAGCTCACACTTCGAGACAGAGAACCCTTTCTAATATGTCACTTCCTTCTTCAATGTTCACAATTCGTCCGATAATATAAAAGTGTCATGCAAGCGTCATCATCATGCCACTTTTGTCACTGTTTTGTCCTTCCATAAGATCTTTAGGCCGTGATCCACTACGATAGCCTAATCAGGTTTAGGCGTTCGAAACGATTGTTTAAAAGTTTTGTGAACATTGTCTAAGGTACTGGTTTTAATCATGATTTAGAAATGAAACTATTACGCATACTATTAATTTAATTCGATACACGAACAAAACAAAGAGAATACTCGTCAGCACAAATTTAAGATTTACGAAAAATGTTAACTTGGAGTTTGTTTGCGCAAAAAAATTGAATATTTTTAAAATGATAATAATCCCCAACAGCCATGTGAATTATTCACTAGAAAATTCTATTTTCAAATCTACTTTTATCATTCAGCGTGGAACGATGATTTAGTACAACCAGTGGTCATGCCCAATATTCAGCGTCTTTTAAATCTAAACATTTATACATATTTAGAGAAGTATAAAAACATATAACAAGAAATGGTAATGACAGAAACGTCTAATAACTTTTTTGGTCCAATATGCACAATGTAATTGCAAATGAATTTTTTTTTTTTTTTTTTTTTCATTTATTTAATACATTTTACAATGGTTTATTACATACATGCAGCTGTAGCTCAAAAAACCACTAATGGTTTATTCATCCACAGCGATTCGCTGTAACAAGTATTTCCTTAGTTTATTTTTACATTTTTACATTTTCCCTCCACATGTAGATCTTGAACGCATATTAAGAGTAAAAAACTATTTTGGATAATCCACTATGTAATCTTTGGATGCGTCGATGACACATGTAGGCCGGATACAGAATTGTAACTAAGTGTCGCGTCTGTACCCCAGCGTTTATTCGTTTTATCATTAAAAAAGTAAAAGGCCTAGCAATGAAAAGAATATGAAGACCTACTAAATCTGATAAATACATTAAAGGTTACATTAATTAAACATACAAACTGAAGTACATATCTATATATATCTTAATATATTGCTCGTTTTGTGCCGTACCAGGATTCCTAATTAAAATTACTTGGTATACTCTCATATATAAAGATGTCAGTATAATGTTGACAATATTTTGTATACTAACTTGCAACCTCCCGTCCAATGTCCGCTGAATAGTGACGCATTTACTGGGATGCGCGCCATTTGTCGTGATAGCAGTTATCAAAGAGTCCAGCTCATCGCGTTTCTCCTTCAACTTCTTTACCAAGGACTCTATGGCGCGCTTGGAGAACCCCTCACTCTCACCACCTTGCCGGTGGCACATCAAAGAGTGAACGATGCTGAGGCACGCATCCGCCGACGTCGGGGCTGTTGTGTTCATGACTGAAAAGTAAAATGAATTACATTTGGAAACGCCTGTTTATCAAATTCAGGAAACTTACTGTATCTGAACCAGTCATTGTAATTGACTTCCATAGTTTTCGTAAAAAAGAACCAAGTACATTGGAAATACACGACTTGTCAGTCTGGCCGACTACAATGAACTAGCGATATTTCCGTCTCGTATACAAGTCTTCCCTAATTATTCCATTTTCATCCCTAAAGAGAAGTCAGAGCCACAGTTCAGGCCAAACATATCTGAATACGAATGCAATCCAATTTTCACTACCAACCACGGCATTCTGTCTAGGTTCTTGTGTCAAGTGTTCTTACCGTCAATTTCAATAAGACAAGACTATATAGTTCGGGACTTTAGACTGTATTATCCTGAACAAACACCACACAATGCAAATACTTATGACAATATCCGTCATATGACATTGCAATGCCACGAGCGGTCAACGGTTCGAATCCCTGTTGTGGCTTGTACCTATGATTATAATTTCTACGTTAAATACATTTGTGAACGCTTCTTAGCAACATGCACCTTGAAGAAGGCTCACAACCCTTGGACGTAAGTAAAGTCACCAAACTGCATTGGATTGCCCAGCGTGTAATGCGGTGATGATAATGATGACGTAATTCTGAATTTATTTCGCACACTTGAATCACCATACACAATAAATAAGATTTTTTTTATCGTAGCATCGAGAGAAATGTTGTTACAGCCAAACAACAAAAGCTAAGGCCTTATTACCTAACCCAGCTTGATATTGATAATGAGTATAATATGCTTATTGACTTTGAGGTAAATAAGCCAATCCCTTTTCTCGGAAGTACTATATTGACCTGTGCGCCTAGTGTATACAAAAATAACTAATTGTGTAGCCTTGAAGACATGGGACTTCTGGCTACAGTAAAAAAGTCTTTACACTTTGACCCCTCGCACTCCGCCTGCACCCCGCTCCTGGACATTTAGTAAGCCATCGAACTAGGCAATATGTGTATCTTTAACTTTACATTAGTCATGTTTATATAATTAAATTATTTGAAATATTAGATTTCTTTTTAATTGTCTTTTTTTTTCAATAAAATTGAAGATTTTTGCAAATATATCGAGTTCTTAGGTCTTCGCGATTGTTGCAAATACTTGTAAATAAAAACTACATGGTATTAATATTACCCAGAGACTCTACTGTTCAGATTTTTTATATCAGTTTTTTATCAAAAACAGTTATCATAAGTTCGTGTAAGTACAAGGTCAAGACCACGTCAAGCTTGAGCGCCCAGTTACACGAGAAGAAAGTTTTCGCGCGGCCGCCGCGCAGCGACCGCCCAGTAACCACGCCTTCATGTACGTACGTGTACATTAATGGCGAATCTGAATTCTATTTATTACGCAACAACATTTAAATTCCCCTCAATAAACTTACCGGTCGTCGCGCGGGCCACCACGTAGACCAAATTCAAGCCAGGTTAGCCCGCGTGCCCGGAACGCTCATTTAAATTAAAACGTAAAAGCTAAACAAATAGAGCGTATTTTGCCATGACAGTTAGACGCACGCGGTCGCTGCGCGGCGGCAACGCGGGCTCCGCTCTTCGACCGCGCGGGGTGAGCGCGATGAAATTCGTGTCGAATAAATGCGCCCTGACACTTAAGTTTAAATCCAACTCTATGCCGCTTACGATAAGCACGATCCAAAGTACAAAGTGTCAAGCTTGACGGGCTCTTGACTGTAACTTGTTTAATGCAAATGGCAAATGCCGTTTTTTTTGTGTTAACAGTGGATCTTTTTTCTATAACGAGCAATTTCTTGCCAAATTGGTAAAATCTATGATGTTAATTAAATCGATCTCCAAATAAATGCCGTAATATTTAAACGTCACACAATGTTCCTAAAAATATTTACGAAATTGGAACATTTTTTTAATGCGAGAATAAATATCCATCTACATCTGTACCCTGACATGGTCAGGGTACAGATGTAGATGATGTAGATTGTTCGTCGTGTAGACGCTCATTTACATTGATCCCCTTTGTATATCAATCTATAGGTATTAAGAGTCGATACTAACCTCAGTCCAAATTCAAATTTTTTCCCGTACTCATACGGTTCATTTTGCTTGTGACGAGCGGTACCCCGTCTGGCTTTATTTCAAAATTTATTTTTTTTATAAGCGAAATTAAAGCCATTTGAAAAATGTATATCGTACTTACTATACGTGTTCTATTTAATTCAGTTTATATAAAAAATCATTGGTATATGTAAAGTACGTATTGAATATAGCGGTTTCTTATAAAATTTCGAGGTAAGTTTGTTTTTTTTTTCTATGGTGAAAGTTTTTAGGAATCGTTTTTTCACACCACATACTTATCAGTGTATAACCTCAATTTTATAATATATTTATTCCAAAGCGTTATGCGGAATCAACCAAAGTCATTTGAGATTGGAATCTACTCTAAAGTGATTTAAAGTATCGCTCTATTACTTTTGAAGGAAAAAGGTAGATACATTCGTTCTCGCTCTCGCTTACGACCACGTTACTGTGCACGCAGAGATAACCACACTTAATTCTAGCACCGTGCGTGCGTGCGTGCGTGCGTGCTTGTGTGTGCGTGAGTGCGTGCATGTGTGTATGTGTGAGCGTGTGTGTACGTGTGCGTGTGTATATATATAAGATAAACTCAGATAGTCAAGCGGCTGTACATGCATCAACCATAGTTACCCAAACATCGAAGATTGAAGAGAACTGTATAATTATACTGAATATTCTAGGGGAAAGGAATAAGGTGGTCTTGCACTGGGTTCCAGGCATATCTGACAACATGATTAATAAGGCAGCAGATGAGCAGGCAAAGGTTGGTGATAAGGAGACCTTTATTAGTCGTGTACCCAATATAGAGATAGCATACAGCCTGGCAAAGCTCGCTCTGCTGATGTTATGGACATACAGGTCTCCCGAGATGCCTGGCTTCAAACCAAGGGTGTTAGCATTTAAAAGCTCAGCTAGTTGCCTACAATGCTGTACACTATAGAGAAGGTGTGGCAGTGGACAGAAATGGCATGACTGATAAAGATAAGATAAAACTCCTCTGCATCTAATTACCCATAGCTGCCCAATGATGGGCATATAATATTCCATACTGGTAAGGCACAAGTCACTACCAGAAAACATAAAATCTGTTGAAGTCAGGGAAATCCCTCAGTTCTTTAATGCTATGGGCCTTGGCTCTGAAGTGTAATTAGTGGTGATCACAACATGTCGCAGTGATGAGGGGCTACATAAACCCTGAACGAAGACTCCCTAATAATTATAAAGATCATTAAATAAATTTAAAAATCCCGAACAAAGTCAATGTGCGAAATGTTTATATCAACAGCTATTGTGTTTTAAAAATTTGGAATCTTTTTATTGAAGTTAATGGGCCATCAAAGTATAATAGAACTTGTACATGTGGATACAGTACTAATGAAATATAATTCTTACTTCACATTGTTAATTAGTTTAAATATGAAACTTAGTTGAGCTAAGTATAAGTATTTTAAGAAGAATGTGAAATAAATGCTGACACACAAGGTAAATAAATTTACTAAGACCCTGCCTGTATTCAAGGCCTGACTTACACTGAATGCCTTTATTTGGACATACATACCTACCCTATAGTATAACAGCTAATCAAAAACATGGCAATTAATTTTTTTTTACTAATATTATTTATTGCTCTGGAAACAGCACAAATTACATTAAATAAAAGGAAAACACAAATAAAAGGTACTGCTTGTTTCTGTAAGAAATTTCTTCCTGCAGACCTAAACACAGGACTAAATAACTACAATAACGGGTTTACATACATGAAAAACAAATTTATGTAACACAATATTAATAACATTAAACTATTGTAAACTAGATACATACTTAGATAAATATATATTTCATAATATAATAAAATGGATGGAACTGTAGATAAATAATGCTCCGTAACTCTCAATTCAAAAGTAACTAATGATATGCTTTTGTGAACAGTAATAGGACGTGCATTCCAAAGTCTGACTGCATGAATAGTTAAAGAGTGAGAAGGAAAAGATAACTGGGACCTAATGAGAGAATGACAGGGTTTGCCCTGAGACCCGAGAAAACTGAAACACTCTTTCAGCTCTTTCATTTATGTGCTATTTTTACTTAGAACATCACTAACTAGAATTTTATAGCTGCAAAATACAATATTGATGTCAAATATTTTAGCTGTTTACGAAACAAATGAGTCTTTATTTTAATTATCAGGAAACTCAAACAAAGCATAGTATGTAGGTAAGGTCTCTAAAGTTCGAATTAACAAATGTGCAGTAAGATATAACCTCGAAATCTGTATGTACATAGCGTAGTTCTAAATTGTAGGAGGGAAATACCGCAGCGGGAAGTGGCGATACCAAGCCATGACATATATGAACCTAAGGGCTAGATGGAATTTAACCACTTCCGATTCGTAAATATCACTCAAATTCCATCTAAAACCACACAATATAGTCCTTATACACCAACAAACAAACTGAAAACAACCCTACAACGAAAACAACCCCTAATATCATCCCAAGGCAAGATAAAAGAGCAAAAATAGTTGAAAATGTACAGTACAAAAAACAATAGTATCAGTAATTATGAATCAAGTTACCTGTTAAAATTGTTAATGTAACACTTGGTTTTTCGAAGAGCAAAACTCCACATTCAATCCGTAATAAACATGGATATAATTATGAAAATTGATTTTCTATAATGCGGGATGATACAAAAACAGTCTGCGACATTTTGATGACGCATAGACAGTAGAGTTATTTCAGTGTTACCATCAAAAGTGACCAATAATAAAACCGGTAATGCTTTTGCACGTTAACATTACCACTCACGTAGTGAACTTCAGATTACTGTAATCAGTATCTACGCCATCTATAATTGGCATACCAGAACTAGCTGAAAAACAGAAAAGTTCCGTCTCATGCTATTCGATTCCAACCCTACTATAACAATCTTTCTAATTTGTGATTCCAACCTAAAAGGAGAGGAGAAGAAATTGAAGTTAAAATTTATACAAATTATATTTAAATCCGAAACGGTAATAAATTATATTAATTTAATCTATTTATCAAACCTATTTCATTTTTTAACATAATGATTTATAAGGTTAACTTGTACAAACAACAAACATGTAAAGGAACACAAATTAGTCGTCGAGTTGGTGGTTGACAGCGGACTTTGTCTAATTTACGTTTTTATTTTCGTAAAAACAAAAATTGATAGAATAGAAGCAAAAACCTTAGGCACATCGAAGTAGTTCTAGTATTCATGGTACTTTTTATAATACTCAGATTTATCCGTTTATCGTGTAATTTTAGTTCTTAAGCTATAAAGTGGGTGGATTCCGACTAAATAATTAGGGAAAAAATTGTGTGTCATGCCCGCAGAATTCAAGTATTTTGCTGATGATGAACAATGAAGGGTGTCGATAGTTCTCCAGCTAATCGCGAAGGAATGACCAATAAACCTATAATAACATGTAAGTGTTATGCTTAGTATACCTGGAATGGCGTATAAAATGTAACTTGCGACTACGTACAGGATGTACATCATGTTTATGCGTGCATACTAGTCGTTAATTGCAGCCAAATAATTAACGTAAAAGACAAAATACACATCGAGGGCTTTCAGGAATAGTGGCCTATCTCAAAATCACCTAAATCATCAACAAGATGGTTTAAAAAACAACTACAGAATATCTAAAATGCAAAGCAGACAAGTTGCATACAGGAACACGTTCTCACGTGGTTATTTCAGACAATAAAAGCTCAGTGTCTTTTTCACAATAAAATTTAGCTCATTCTGAGTGAATCTGTGTCATAAGACGAAAAATGGTCCTTTATACTTTAGGCCACTATTTTTGAAAAGCAGTGTTGTCAATATTTCCTTTTACTGCCTATTTTACTAGTGGTGTTTATAAGTCTAAGTGCATGTTTGGTTCTACAATTTATGTCAAGAATTTTTGGGGCAATTTTCTTAAGGTACAATAGAACAAATGTTCTTAATGCCATTCTGCTAGTGAGAAAGGAAATGATTGAATCTGCAAATGCTATGACTTGGTAACCCTCTTTTATATCCACCATTCATTGTCTTTAATTATATCATGTCACACATGTACTGGCCAATCGAAGCGCAGTTGTCACAGTAATGATATAGCAGAATAGTTTTCAAACAAATGCCATTTCATCTGTATTTCTGGTAATATATATACTTGGTGAATAATAATAATAATATATTTTATTCTTTTCAAAACTAAACAGTACATGTGATAGTTAGATACATAGTTAAGTACCAGTATCACTGTCCAGTGTCAGTTGATTTGTTTAACCGTTTCATGGACAGTACTTATATAGTACTGCACACAAAAATGAGTACTTGCCATATTGTTCATATTGATTCAATATAAAATATTCAATGTATGTAAATCATAGAACTTTGTCAGAACATTATTGATACTTCTCTATAGAAAAGCAGTAGGCGGCAACTCCACAGACACTAGTTGGAAATCCCACTGTAAAGTTCATAGTTGGTTTTTTGACATCAATGTAACAAAACAGAGTACCACATACTATCATATTCCAATATTTAATTTTACAGTAAATGCTGTTGCTGCCCACAATAGGGTTAACAAAACAATCTTACATTTATAAGTAATGACTAATGACAATACATTATTGTATTTAGGTGCTGGAGACTGGAACCTATTCTGCACACTAGAAGCACCGTTGGTGGCAGCCATCCCTCAAGACTCATGCGAATGGCGAAGATCATATGGTCGAGTAACCAAATCTGTGTACCTCGAAGCATCATTTGTCAAATACAATAAAGACAAAGTGGGCCAGCTTGAGTACAATCTGTTGAAGAAACCCATTTTAAATATTTACTGGACTGATTGTGCAGTAAGTATAAAATTATAAAAGCCCTTAATACTGAGGCCTACTAATACTGAGGGGTCTTCTACATGCTATTTGCTCGTGAACATTTTGCCAGCTGACTGCGTCCCATAGAGAACTCATGATATTAAGTTTATTGAATTTTCATTTATTTTTTATAATTATTTATTCAAAGATCAAACAAAGAAAAATCCATCGATCGGACTGGACTCAAACCAGCGATCTCGCCATACCGGGTCTATCGCTCTTCAAAGTGAGCTACAGAACGAGTCAGCAAACCTTACCAATTTATCTATGTGCTTGTTACAGACCTTTGTTTTTGTTTTTAGAAATTTTTGACGTAGCGCCGCCTGTCAGAAATTTATGAAAGTAATATAATAATTAGTTATATCGGTACCATATTTTGTACATTTTATAAGTAAATAAGTTAGTAGGAAAACAAGCAATACAAAAAAGTTTGTGAAAAATCACTGGTCACATTGTATATATTTAGGAATTGGACATTGCTCACTTAATTTGCGCTTGGACATGTTCTTTTTCGAAGTACAATGTTCCTGAGAACCTTATTCAATTTTAATGTTGTTCTTTTGAAAGTGTTTGGCACTGTAGGTGTTAATTAGGGCTGTTGAGTGTATAATTGTAGTGAGATTTCTCAGTTCGTCAGTTCAGTCATTTCCCATTACCATAAAAGTAAATTAGAAACTCAACAATTAATGATTTAGAAAATGAGTAGTGCAGGTTCTCTGGTACAAATTAAACAGAACCTCCTGTCTTAGAGGAAAGCATCCTCCGATAGATGATCACTGCGCCTGTTAAGTAATGGTAAAATGATACAAATTAGGAACTGGCACTGAAGCGACAATCAGCAATGTGAATTGATATAAGAGAAATGATTAAATGCCTGGTGCGAAATCACTGTAATGTCTATTTTCATATAGTGTTGCTGGCTAACAGAATGTGTCGGAACAGATTATTTACAAAGTTTTCTGCTTTTTTATGTTACTAATTAGAATCATTGTGGATGAGCTGTCGTACGCGATATCTGTTAATGAACAATTAAAATTGCATTCTATTACAAATTCTTTCTGTGACTACAATTTGAAATAACAAAATAAAAAATTTCAATTTCCCTTGCTTTGACGACAAAAGAAAAAATCATGAGAAACCTGCATGCTGAGATGGTTCAGAAAATTCTTAAAATAATACCCTTCAGTCAGTTATGTGCGTACACTGAGCGAAATTTAAAATGATGTGTGCAATGGGCGAATCAAATATTATATATATTATTATTATATATTATGCATTTTCTAGAACGAGATTAAGTACTTTTGCAAAGAATTCTTTGATTTGTTCCTATGGGTACGTAAAAAACTTTAGACACTAACTTTACATGAGTAATTAAAAAACCTATAGGAACTTAATAATAATAATAATAATGTTTATTTATTATACATATTATTTATGATCAACTATTTAAACATTTACTATTTATGAAAACCATTTCATTATCAAAACTTGTCAAATGTTTTATTCATTGAACTGAAATTTACAGGATATAGAATTTTACAAAACCACATTAAGAGAAGATGTAGAATCATGGCTGAAACAGCTGGAAAAACATGGTATCACTGATTGGATGATTGTACTAGTTGAAACATATGATATAAGGAAAACCAACAAGCTCCTGCCCCGTACGACAGTACTGGATAAAATTAAGGGAGATTTTGCTGCAAAACAAACTGAAGACCGGTTTATATCTGTTATAAATCCTATAAAATCTGAAGCAAGAAGTGCGGAATCATGGAGGTCTTTGGTTGCAAAGACCAGGCATTTCATCCTCGTCGCTTATAATAAAGCGTTATTAAAGTTTGAGGAATTTATGAGAGAGCAGAGAGAAAAACGGAACGACCCAGAATGGGATTTTTGTAAATATTTTATTTTGCAAGTGAGTTTTTAACCTTTATAGTTATAAGAATGATCTGTTGTTCAGTATTTATTTATTTATTTATTTATTTATTTATTTATTTATTTATTTCATATGGTATTGTCTAATTCAACGTCGTTTGTGTCTATTTTTAGATTTGCAACTTCCTTATCTTATAATAAAATAATTAAAGAGTATTATTGTCTTTGCAGGAACAACTAGCATTTGTACTAGAAATGCTAGGCTTGTACGATGAAGCGTTAGTACAGTACGATGAACTCGACGCTCTGTTCTCTCAATTCGTTCTAAACTCCAACGTGACAGCTAGTCCAAAATGGTTGGACGTCTTCCGCCAGCCGATCACGTCGTGGCAAGCGGTCAGATTGACTGCCCTAGTGCCCCATCATCTGAGAGATCTAATTATAAAGAATAAACCATCATTGTTAGACCTGAGAAGTTATCTCTTTCAACGTCAAAGTGCCATGTTACTACTTACGTTTAAACCTTGGGAGGTATGTTGGTACCGTTATTACAGTCATTGAGTATATAACCAGAAATAAGACGAAATAAGGGCCATATATTCCTTGTAACACATTAGCGATACAGCTGTTATAAATATCAACTCACGTTTGCACCGAAATATAGACAGGCCAACTACTAACCTTTGTGTACGTCTCCGTATATTCCAAAAAGTATTTTGTATTTATTGTAATAAAGATAATATCTCTAACAATGCCGTGCTGTTCTATTCCGTGATGTGGGAAAAACAGCAAAACATCTGAATACAAAACAAACAGAATCACATTTCATCGGTAATTAAGTATTAAATATGTAATTTTGCAATTCTCGTCCATTATACCAAAGCTCAAGTTAACAGGTCGATTTGAAGTGAAACAGTTGACGACACCCGTCAATTGTTTCGAACTCGGGCTAGCCAATCGGAGCACAGTTGTCACAGTAATGATATGGCAGAATTGTTTTCAAACAAATTAAATGACATTTCGTCTCTATTTCTGGTTATATACTCGATGTTTACAGTAGACAACTTTTTAACTATTTATGCCTACCATAGACCGTTATTCCGTTGTTTTAAAAGAGCACTAAATCACCGGTAAACATTAATAGCTACCAATTAAAACGCGGTTCGAGTTTTTCATATTTCCGTTTCTTCAATGCAATTCTGAATTATTAGTTATTGAATACCTAGCATTAAGTTTCGTATATGCGCTTTTACTCATGACCGGCCATCTGTGACAGAGTAATTATAAAGTCAGTTACTGAACGGTTAGATTTGTTCTTTAGTAATTATTGAATTGAATGTTGGTTAATTACGTATTTATAAGCGCGTACTTTTACGCTACAATTGCGTTTTTCTGCGTTTGCTCTTCGGTTTCGTTTTATTGAACTTTGGTCGATCTTAATATTTCACAACCATAATGTTAAAATAATATTCAGAATTTGCTACGTTACGTTACGTTATTGTGTACGTTAAACCACACATCTGTTATATACACTTGGGGACATATTTAGAGGAACACTAAAAAAAGTTGAATTATGATAACAATGTTCACATGAATCACTCAATAACCACATATACCAGATTTAAAAAAAAAACTGTAATCGTCTTTTGATTTTGATAAAAAATTCTGGTATATTGGTTGGCAAGTGGTTCATATGATCATTGTTATCATAATTGAACTTTGTCCATGAGTATACAAACTGACAATATAAATACAAAAGTGATTATATTGTCAGTGGAAACATAGAGTACTCAATTGGAGGGAATTTATAGTGCCCAAGCGACTCACAAACAAAAGAGACGAAAAAGTGGCTAATTTTATCATAGTATTGCTGTGTAACGGTGTGACCTCCTTATAACGTCATCCCACCTTTTTGTATCGCCTCTCTCCATTCGTATCGTATCGTTTTTTCTTCTTCCACTCATATTTAAATTTAAAATGGTTCCATTTTACCTCGCATTCTGATTTTGTTTCTTTCCAACGTCACTCTCTGCGCGACCGCGGTAGCGAACATACCATTATTTATCTTTTTGAATCGATTACTAGCTATATTTATACAGTTTACATTTTAAAGATTATATTTGTTAAAACCGATGAAATAAACCGATGAAATATCTATAAACTGGACTTTCAACGTTTGAATTGCTAAATTTACTAAAAAAGATGTTGGAGGCTGCGAGGCTGCGGAGGCTATTACTGCTATCCAGGCTACACACCATTACAATCTACCAGAACGCCCCCAGCTCCAGCAGCACCTCCACAGCTGTATATATACAGATATATGTTTCAGGGTGACACTGCACTCTGAGTGGCACTGCAACTGTTATGGACAGGCATGTAGCTTACCATAATGTTAGTCCTTACCACGACTTGTTCGTCCCGTCATAAAAAAATGTAGACAAAAATTCCAAACCAAAGAATATAATCATTTTCGAAGTGCAGCTTTATAGAGTCACCAAACTTATTAACCCGGATTCGTCTTGATGCACTCGTGTTTAACCATACCTGTCGCATTAAAGTTACGCCCACGCCCATTCGCGCGCTGTCGCTCTAGTTGTTTCTAAACCAGGATCAGTCGCCGTCGGCATGCGTACAGACACGATCGGAAATATGCAGGAAGCCGATTCGCTGCCGACTTGTGGCGAGCCGCGTTCGTACGAACAGGTGCGAAACGCACAACGTCTTTTTCGCTCTTACGTTCATGGGCGTAAAGCTTTTTCTGACCGGTTTAATGCGTTAATAAGTGTGGTGAGTCCCTTATAAGTGTTTTAACTTTCCACACGATATGTAGCTTAACTTGTGACTGAATGTACCCATACTGTAACAATGCGAAAGAAATAGCTATTCCAACAAATACATTTTGGTTAAGTACATTTACAAAATAGACCTACGTTAATAACGTTACGTTAAAAAAAACATAGTTTATATTTATCTACAGCACAGTCCTTAATTTAGTGATTGAATATACGTACTAAAGTATAATGATATATTATTACGTACTACATTATTACATAATGTTAACACCGTGTCTTGATGTATTGACGATATCAATGCCCTAGCAGTTGTCGTAGATAGTGACCGGGGATTGGTTAGTATAGAGCAGAAAAACGTTTATTGCAACCCCACAACACAAAGATACAAAAAATATATGAATAATACTTAAACAAAGAAAATATCATAAAACAGACTAAAAATAATAAAGAAATAGAATAGAACAGAATCGAAACTTATTTTTTCCCAATAGCTTACAAATATTGAAATACTGGTGAAATTACAGGCACATGGGACTTGTCAATTTGTGTATCAGGGTGTCGGGCACAGTGGCAGTGCCCCTCAGATCTTTTTGATTTAAAGCTCTGAGTGGCACTGCAACTGTTATGGACAGGCGTGTCGCTTACCAGCAGCCACGCGACTTGTTCGCCTCGTCACTTAGTATTATAAAAGAAAAAAACGATGCAAAACACTATTGCATTCATACTGTCTTGGTTCTCGGCTTGAACAGCTCAGAAAAGAAACTTTTTTTAATATCAGTCTGATTCTGAATGATGCCCAAAGCGCACCCATAACAACACTGTGTGGAAGTTTTGGTTCAATTTTATACTGAAGCCGTAAATGATTGAAATATCCATTATTTATATTTTACAACGAGTATTTCTAACAACCTTAGGTAAATATCACCAGTACTGGATACCTATCGAACTAGGAGCCTTTCGAGGACCAATGTCTAGTTGCAAAATAACCAATATCTTAATGACCAATTATACATATGGTCCAAGATACCAAAGCGTTAAACACCAAAGGTACTAATAGACCAAAGTATGAAGACCCTTTCGGAAGACTATATAACTACTCAAATGGATACTCAATTCATTGACCTCGGTCAATGATTCAATTGCAATGTTTGTTTAGACAAATTAATAAATAAAAATAGTGTTATTAGTACTAACTCTGTACCTCGAAATATTTATTGAGCCCCGAGCATTTGCCAGACTGACTACTATCTGTAGCCAGGGGTCCATATAACTCGATTCCCACAGGCTTGTCTAAAGTTTTCCACGTTTTATCAAATATTATAAGTAATTTATACATTTTGTGCTCAATTTTACGTGTAGAATAATTAACTAGTGAAATAAAGTGTACTAGTATCTTATGTGCTAATAAGTGCTGTGTTTAATTGTCGCCAATGGCCACTTGTTAATTCAAGTGTTCCTTGTTTTTCTCCGGCTTTACTAAAGACAAGAAATATTCACGCCTCGCCACTGCTCTATAGTTACCTACTCTCCTATCCCAGTGTCATTTTTATCGTTCTATTGAGTCGCAGTACAGGGAATTCCTTAGTTTGAGACCAGGCAACTGTTGTGAAGGTCTGTTATATTTAATACTATTATTAAACCTCGTGTACTGTGATTTTCATATTAAACTTTCTTGCCAATGTACCGAGTACTTTATCCCCTAGTCACTAACCTACCTAAGGGGGTAGTAAATTAAAGTAGGAGATAAAAATTAAAATAATTATATTGTTAAAAAACATACACAGTAAACATTTTAATTGAGACTCTAAAAACTTTGATACATAAATTTACTCAGGGCCGTGGTTGTAAGGCCTAAAGATTGTTTGTTTCCACTTCTGAAGTTCCGTACTCCCCTAAGAAATATGTCCGGTGGTGGCCTCTGGTCACGGAACGTCAGCAGGCAACAGGCGGAAGGCACAGCTGGTGGCCTGCTTAGGTACTTCGCGCGACGCGAAGCATGTTGTACGGCCAAGGCCAGCTTTCACCAAGCTGAAGATGACCATCACGAACTGAAGGTTGTTCAAGGTTGAGTCCTCAAACTGAAGATTGTTCAAGGTGAAGGTCGTTTTCTCAACCGGAAAGTTGTTTCCGCACCCGGAACGTTGTTCCTGAAATCGATAAACCAACACCCTACAATTTGATCGTCTTCCTTTCGGTCTGAGTGCCCACAGACGGCAACACGCAGAAATTAGAGCAATACTAGCGTAATAGTTTTTACCAGGTGGCACAATCAGAAAGAGTTTACAATTTTAAATATTGCTAATGAAGCTAAAGGCTAAACGGTTTCCAAAAGAATTAAATTTAAGGGTCTCTCAAAATGAAAATTTTAAAAAGTTATGATTTTAGTTGAGACGATGAAATTAACGGACATTTCTACACGACAGATTATTAAATAGTATATGTGTGCGAAAGCAGTAAATAATGATTAGACACAAATTAAAAATTACACAGTTTTTTTATCTTAAATTTCAGATAGCATCACGTTGCCTAACCACAGTGCATACTACTTTGATGGAGTTAAATCTTTTGAATGCAAGCACGGTGGAAGGAGCGGCCGCTTGTTGGGCGCAACTGGCATGCGCCGAGACTCTAAGAGCATGTGAGAAGCTAGCTACGACTAACAGCGCGTTAGAAATGACTACAGCTGCGCAGGCGCCATTGTTACACAAAGCTAAAGATAAGGTAATTGAAATTAACGTGTTAAGCACATTACCCTTAACCCTCCAGGTGGAGGGCGTATCCAGTAAACAACACAATCCATTTGTGGGGACAAACAACCGTACGTGGTGTGGCATCTAAAGCTAGCTAGGGAGAGTCGGAGAATGATCTTTCTCGTTACTTTTTTATTCTCTGCCTAAAGTCTAAATAAGCCTAAATACTATTAATACCATACCATAATAATTGATAAAATTCTCAATTCATTATCACGGCTCCATCTTATTTCAGCTTCACGAACTAGGCAAACTATGCGGCCTACTACCCGGCTCTCCAGACCCAACATCGGAGCAATTGCATCTTGTTGTAATGCTATCAGCTGGCATGGGAGATAGTGAGCCAAACAATCATCATCCCACCCCAACTGACAGATTGAAGGAGGCGCTGTGCAGCAAAACTAACTTCCAGCAGTATTACTTGGAATTGGCCGAGTTAGCTATAGGCACTTACAAACATATTGGAAGATTAAGGTTTGTTTATTCCGTGTGTTACGGTGTAGTGAGTGAAGAATAAGTATTGGTTGGCCAAAGAAGCCGTGCGGCGTCAAATTATGAATTGAAAAACATTCAAAAGTAAATATTAAACTTTCATAACTGTATATTAGCCATGTTGATCAACAATATTTTGCTATCTTTCGAGTAATTTTAGAGTTTCCTTTTCATAAAAATTACTGTTGTTACTTTTGAAATACAGCTCAAAGGGTCGTATTCTAGAACTCTAATCAATGCTCAAGTCACGACTTGAGTATGATTCAAAGCACTAGAAATCATACTCAAGTCCTTGCCATTAGAGTCGTATTTCCAGTGCTTGAAATCATACTCAAGTCTGCTCAAATCCTGACTTAAGCATTGAGTACAGTTCTGGAATACGAACCCTAAGTGTCGTTTGTTTTTTCGTTATCATTGTCGTGTCCATTTAAAACAATACGTGAAACAATTGAAAATCCGAAAGGGCTATGTCGGGCAATTAAGGTGGATGTAGTAACACATACCAACCCAACTTCAATAGTTTTTGACGACTTCGTAAATATATAGGTGATATTGTACTAACATGATGAAACACAACACATTTACGATTCACCAGATCTTGGCGTTTTTCTTAAAATTATAAAACTTTCCCGCGTATTCTTAAAATGCGCGCTAAAATATTATTTAAAATATGACCAATATAAAATTGTAATAGAAAAGTCCGATGTCTGGTCATTAATGAGAATTATGTTTTTCCGCAGATTCGCCCGCCTCATAGGCAGAGATCTAGCTGCGTTTTACTCTGAAATGGGCGAGACGGGAAAAGCCGTTGTATTTTTAATGGACGCGTTACGATCTTACGAGGAACAAGGCTGGAAGGACCTTGCGGCACAGACAAGGCTCGAGCTTGTTGCAGCTGCTAAGAAAATGGACGACATGGACAGGTATGGAACATGACAGGGCAATAACATAAAAAATAAAATCCGCTTTATTTGACAAGCGAAATACGTTAATTACAAACGATTTTGAAAAATTATTAATTATTACATAATTCATTCGTAACACGAAAAAAACATAATAATAGAAAACAAAAATTATTCAAAATGAAATAAGTAATAAAAAGCATGTGAAAACCAAAAACAAATTCTTTAATGCGTTTCATCTTGTACAAACAATAAAAAAACAAATAAAATTGATCCACATTAAATTTCAAAAAATTAAAAAATAATTAACTACAATAAAATTAAAAAATTAAAATGAAATTTAATTCAAGAGAGTTGTTGGTAGGTAAAAGTGAAACTCGCAGTTGGTGGAAATCAGGAATATATTTTGGGTCAAACAAGCGTACTACATTTTGTGATCTCACTAGACTAGTTTGTGAGACCGCGCTGTCGTATCGTACTGCCCTATTGTGAACGGCCTCTCAGTAACGACCCAACGGCGACAAGGCGGGCTTAGCAACATTCCCCCAGATCAGCGCATACACGCGCAGATTTTGTTTCTGCAGTAGTGCCCTGAGCCGAGGTCCGTCCCCATTTGCGCGCTTGGGTTCTTCTGAAAATATTCGTCCAGGGAACTACTGCCACCTTACCTATTACTACCGCCAAGCAGTAATACTCACATTACCATGTTCTGGTTTTGAAGGGTAAGAGACATATGTCTCAAAGTGACGGGCACAGTGGCAGTGCCACTCAGAGCTTTAAATCACAAAGATCTGAGAGGCGCTGCCACTGCGCCCGTCACCCTGAGACATAAGTTGACAAGTTCTAGCCTTCAAACCCGAAACGTAGTAATGTTCATATTACTGCGACGTTAACGACAATGAACAGAATGAACAAAATAGCAACGACGGTGCTCAGTCTGGGGGAATGCAAATCGGCGACCTAACCTCTGTCGCCATTAGTTGAAACGCCCCACGTGACATTTAAAAAAATATACATTTGAACTGCCGTGAGCATTAAAAAAAGGCCGATATGTCATTTTTTTTTATTAAGTGATTAGGTATGAAGTTACCGCAAGAGTAAAACACATTTTTATTTTTATTTCTTTAAATATTACTTTCTCTGTTTTGTATTTTTGTCACAAGCGCCTTTTCAACTAACGGCGACAGACCTGACCTTTTCCGTCTCTATAGATCAAAAACACTTTATTATTAATTATAATTAACACTATTCAATAATGAATTTAATCATTTGTATTTTATTATTCTTCATAAAAAAATTTTCTAATAAAATATAAAAGTAATGGTATTATACTATGTATGGACAGACGGGTCGCTTACCACCAGGCGCACGACTTGTTCATCCCGCCACTGGGTATCATAAAAATGCGTACTTGGCTTGTGCAAGTTCACTCGCGGTGAAGCTATATACCTTGTAGAAGGACCAATTTATGTCTTCATAATGGAGCCTATACATTATATATGAGTCAACACAGTACAATTTCTCATTTACAAAATAAATAATAATAATAAATAACGCACACACTCGACATAGGCCCGCACTAGGGAAACCCTGTGTTGCGGTGCGGTTGCCATGAACACACACATAGACAACCACAAATTACACCCAAAGCTACGAGAGAAATAAATGTAGGCCATACAAATATTTCTCCCGGCCCCGGAATCGAACCTGAGACCTGCGACTCAGTCCAAAATGGTAACCGTTCAGCAACAGAGGCAGTTAAAAAAACAAACACTAAAGATTTGTAAATGCTTCTATAACACTATATAAGAAATTGTCAGAGATTCCATTTTTGCTTTGCCAGTATTAACTTCTGTTTAGCAATTATGGAGACACACACAGACAGTGGCATTCACATAGCTGCCTATTTATGTAGCTACATAGTGATATTTCCACAATCTAGCAAATCTACACAATTTCTAGCATGGTTGGGATACACTATTTATGGATTTCAAATATAATATTCCCTTTTTGGACTTTAATAAAGAGAAACCCGAAAATGTACAAAGTCCAAGTTTTCGTTGTCCTGATCGGAAAAACAAAGTTTTTGGAGGAAAATAAAGATTTTTCATAATTATTAATAAAAAAATCGAACACTCAGAAAAAATTTCTTCGATCCGGTCGGATTCGAACCGACGTCTCCTTGCATACCGTGCCAGACGCTATACCAACTAAGCCACGGAACGAACCAACGGACCTCACGAATTTTTCTATGTGCTTACGTCGTGTCTTTGTACTTGGTCTTTCAACGACTTTTTAGTTGTAGCGCCATCTATGAGAAATCTTTAACAGATTTAACACCCAGTTAGTACCTTTACAGCTACCAGTCCTGGCTTTTTTCATGTTTTTTTTATGTTAAAACTACGCTCTAAAAACTGATTCCAGTGGAAAAGTTTTTATCCTATTGGCAATGCTGGGTGGTGCACAACTTTGGCTGCCCTTTTTATTTATTTCTTTTTATTACATATCCAAACACATACTTTTACGCAACAAGATTTTTTTAGTATAATACTATTACTTTTTTATTTTATTACAAATAATGTTTTTTATGAGGAATAATATAATTCACAATTGAATAGTGTTCATTACAATCAATAATACAAAGTGTTTTTGATCGTTAGGGCCGGATAACGTCCCTATGCGCCCTTTCAACTATCGGCGGCAGAGGTTAGGTCGTTGGTTTGCGTCCCCACCAAACTGAGCTGCGTCGTCACGATTGTGTTCATTCTGTTTCTGGTGCTTGACGTTATCGAATGTATTCCTTGCTTTATATGCGTTATTGTTGCAAGCTTTATACTTCTTTATAATAGTTTTTGAACAATAGCGAGGAAGACTGATATGCCTTTGGTTTATAAACGAAAATTCATTAGTTAACCCAATTTTGCCTGAGTAAAAACTAAATGATGTGTAAGCCACTGATATCGAAAACAAAACTAGGTATAGAAAATTAATGTTCTAATTAAAAAAAAATCGGGGATATGTTTCTTTAGCGCCGTGTCTCGGAAAATTTTGTGTGAGCCGTGGCCTTTTTCATTTACATATAATTTCTCATTTTAATATATTTTGTGACAGAAATTGATTCTAAAAGTTCTGTAAGTTGTTTCATCCAATAGGGTATTTTTCAAAAAAAAAAAAAGTAGAAACTTGAACAAACTGGAAAAATGTTTACGATCTATGTGATCTCATTTTGACAGTGACTGAGCTTTGTTTACAATTTTGGGCTTCAATTTCGTGTCAAAGTATAATCTCTTTTGTTTTAGAATTAGATCTTGAAATATAATTCACTTGGCCAACCGTAGTCAGACGTTCATATATGCCGTACACGTATAAACCATAGATTACGTCCCTTTTTCGCTGTTTTAAACACATATATGTTTATTATTGATGTTTGTGTCAACGCATTGTCAGCCATATAAATGTTTACATTTCATCTAACATTGCGACGTTACTAAGTCTACGTAGTCCTATTGTATTACAGTTATTTTAATTTGGCCGTTGGTGGTATTAACTGACATATTTTAACTGCCTCCGCGGCCGAACGGCTACCATGCCGGACTGCCACGCAGAGGTCCCAGGTTCGATTCCCGGGCCGGGAGAAATATTTATATGGCCTACATTTACTTCTCTCGTGAGTTTGGGTGTAATTTGTGGTTGTCTATGTGTGTGTCCATGGCACCCGCGACACTGGTCTGGTTTTTGGGCTACGTTGAGTGTGGCGTTACAATTATTTAAAAAAAAAAGATATTCGGTTGTTTTAGAAGGTAACTTAGCGCAAACGTAGACTTTGTTGCATCGCGGCGTGCGGCATGTGACGACTCCAAGCTACCGCCTGTATTTGTTGCACGACAACTAATAGTCATAAGAAAAAAACATATTTTAGCTAGTAGTGTGGCGCTTCAATCGGGACAACGCATACCACTAGCAACAAAGTCGCAATTTCTGCCTCTGTGCAAAGTTGCTCCTATTCGAACAATATCAATGTAGTCAATAGTTCGATTACAATCACCGAGTGTTCGTTCGTTTTAATACGCTAAATAATTTACTTGGCAAAGCTTAATTGCATACTGCAGTTAATAATAAGTGAAGTTAATGAAACAACGTTTCTTTGCGAAGTGGCTGTTGCTTATTGGTAATTTTATTTATAAAAACTCGTGGAAAGGCGCTCGACGACAGTTTATTTCGTTAGTTAGTTCGTTTCTTATATTCGTGGGTGATAGACGTACGAGGTTAAAAATCGCGGTTTTAAAGTTTGCGTTCTTACTCAGCTCGACGTCGGCGACACACGACAGATTACCTTATAATGTTACGCGATGTCGTCCACGAAGGAGGTCTTGTGTTATTTCGAAACTATATAAACTATTAACTGCCTCCGTGGCCGAACGGTTACCATGCCGGACTGCCACGCAGAGGTCCCAGGTTCGATTCCCGGGCCGGGCGAAATATTTGTATGACCTACATTTATTTCTCTCGTGAGTTTGGGTGTAATTTGTGCTTGTCTATGTCTGTGTCCATGGCACCCGCGACACAGGGTTTCCCTAGTGCGGGGCTATTTTGAGTGTGTGCGTTATTATAAAAAAAAAATAATAATAATATCGTATCACATTTTGGAAACTAAGAAAGAAGACAAAATCGGCGAGTGTGGGTAAGAACTGGCTTACGAAAAGAGAGCGTTTATCACATGTAAATTTATAAGAGAGTTACGTGAAGAAAAGGAAGACTTTTTTAAGGAAGAATTATTAAGAATGCCCGAGTCGTTGTACGAAGAACTCTTGTACTTATTTTCACCTATAATAGCTAAACAAGATATGAGAGAAGCTATTTCATTTGAAACAAAATGGCGGCTCGTGACTCGCGACACTGACAGACATGCGAGCCAAGGCGGGCTACGAGCAAGATTTCAAACATGTTTGATCGCTGATGGACTAGAGCGGCAGTTTTAAAATTCGCGTACTTAGGGTGACACATGAGTGAAGAAGGTTGTCGAGCCACAAGTACGCGTATTTAGTCGTACGTCTATCACCGACTTTAGTAATACAATTCATGGACAGTTTCTGGTATTAGTTCCTTATGACAGTACTAGATGGCATTAGACGCCTCATTAATTCCCATGATGAAAAAGTCCACACCATTAGTGTAATAAGGCCACACCTGCAAAAATACAGTTTTTCAGAAGAGAGGTTTAAGCAGTCTACAATCACAAGTAGTTTTCATCATGATTATAGATTTTTTTTAATTCGAAGTTTTTAAATAATAATCAGTGTCAGTTATAATCAGTGATCGGAAACAAGGGAGTTAATCTATTTAGTATTTATGTTATTTAGTAGGAAAATGTTCATTTTTCTGTGTGTTCCATCTTTGTATTAATAATTATAACAAACTAGTGGAATAAATTCACAAAAAAAATGAATATCAATTCGATAAAAATTTAAAATACAGTGAATAGCGATATCGCTCGCCAGGGCTGGTAACTGTAAAGATATCTAACTGGGTGATAAAACTTTCATAGATTTCTCATAGATGGCGCTACGACTAAAAAGTCAACAAGTAAGCTAGAAGACGTCGGTTCGAATCCGGCCGGAGAGAAGGAATTGTTTCTGTGTCGATCTGTCGATCTTTGTATTAATAATTATAACAAATGTTCATACTTTAAGTAGTTCATATTTTAAATGTTCTTACGAAATGGGTATATACCCAATCCCTCGGCCGGCACTCAGGACACCACTACGCGTATGCGCTTGTTTGACACGATCGTCGCACGGCTCACGCCGCCGTACGTTCTATTTGAGCGAGCACTCTGACCGCACACTAAGTCTCTGGAAGGAGAGATACCCACGGCAACCTGGGCATGATCTATCTTGACAAACTTGGAAGTCTCATAAATAGGTTGTGGACCCAGGTCTACCAAAGCAAGAAGAGCATGCACAGGTGGGGTTCTAGCTCGGAGAGCGCACGTGCGCTAGGCAAGACAAAGGCACGTCTTTTGTTGTGCCCTGCGTGTCTCTACACGTGCACACGCGACGACCTGTACAACGCCACTGATAATGCTGTGTCAGTCCCTAGGTACTGGTACCCTAAGAAGAAGACTACATTTCTTATAAAGTTTTGTAAAAGACAATAGTGGTGAAAGATAAAAATAAGTCCAGCTCAACAAAATGGCGAAATGTTTCACAATGCCGCTGATATTCTGCTACAGCCAGCCGCCATATATAAAAAAAAATTAATAACTTATAATACGAATTTTTGTTTGTTTCAGATATACGAAGCTCTCTGCAACCATAGCCAGTACCGCCGAATTAGAGATTCTAGTCAGAAACTTCTATTTCGAGGAGATGATGAACTCCATACGAGATAATCTCGCCGCTAAAACCGAGCCAGTCCTAGCGGAACTAAATGATTGCTTTAAAATAGTTTCAGCCACATTAGTAGCCTCCGAACGAGGTGTTTACATCACTGACAATAAGATCCAATGTCGGTTGCAAATCGAGAGTTATTTCCCTAAAAACGTGAAGTGCACTAAGGCATCTATCTGCATTGAACAATGCAACTATGACAAACATGATAAAAGAACGTCGGCGAAAAATTACAAGACTGATTTAAGTAATAATATATGTACGCAAACTTCGCCGAAGAAAGCTGCCAATTGCACAAACGCCGATGATACAATTAATCTAATTAGTAGGTGAGCACAGCACATAGATTACTTCACTTGTGTAAAAATGCATCGGGGAAAACATTCACAAAACTACGTGTAGAGCTCCTTGTTCGTCCAGGGAAGTACTGCCACCTTACCTATTTTTGCCGCGTAGCAGTAATGTGAATATTACTGCGTTCCGGTTTTGAAGGGTAAGGGTGGTGGTGAAATTACAGGTACATGGGACTAGACATGAGCGCCGATAATAGACCAACCGGCGGCGGCGCGCCGACGAAAATTGTCGGCGGCGGTGGCGGCGTTTCGGCGGCGCGAGCGTGACCCTAAAACGAATTTGTATGTCGGTGTTTGTTTTTACAAAAACCGTTATACAAATACTTTTTCAAAAGAAAAAATAAAATAACGTATTTTCATTAGTAATCAAATTTTTATCACTTCGACCAGGCGCTCAGATCGTACGCACGCGCACGCTTCCATATTGTGTATGCATTCCATATTATGTATGAAAATGATGACGCCAGAAATTGACAAATTATTTTTTTAAACAATACATCTTTAAATATAAAGTCATTAACTAACTTTTGTCACCTATCAATGTCACCTCTGCTGAGGCCGGACGGCACGCTGGCCTATACTGCAGATGACAAGGCACATCTTTTTGCCTCACTCTTTGCAAAGAGTTCGCGTTTGTATCTATTCTTCCCTCTGGCTGCACTATGGCGCTAATTCGCATACGCCAAAAAGAGGTACATAGAACTCTGCGGAATCTAGACGTGAATAAAGCTAGCGGGCCAGATGGATTTCCAGCACTAGTCCTACGTAACTGTGCGCCTGAGTTGTCTCCTCTTCTCACACGCCTACGCCTGTACCGCCTCTCACTTGAGACTGGTGTAGTTCCCAGGTCGTGCAACCTGTGCCGAAAAAGGGAAGCAGAGCTGACTTTGTCAACTATAGACCTATCTCAGTCACTTCCATACTCTGCAAGACTATGGAACGTGTACTCAACAACCGTCTCTTGTCGTACTTTGAAGAAACGACCTCCTCAGTGATCGCCAGTACGGATTCCGACGAGGGCGATCAACTAGGGATCTTCTTGTGTATGCCTGTCACGTATGGAGCGAGGCTATACAAAAGCAAGGTGAAGCACTTGCAGTGTCTTTGGATATTTCTAAAGCCTCTGACAGAGTCTGGTACGCAAACCTTTTAAGTAAGTTTCCCTCTTATGGGCTTCCGACTGACCTTTGCAATTGGATCTTGGATTTCTTGAGCGAACGTTCGATTCGAGTGGTCTTAGAAGGCTACCCTTCCGAACATATGGCGATAGATTCCTCAGGGTTCCGTACTGTCTGTAACTCTCTTTCTGGTGCATATCGATGATAAGTTAATTCCAGCTACTTTTGCGTATGCTGATGATAACACAGTTGTAGATAGGTACTTGACCAATGCTAGAGTCAGTTGAGAGGAAATCCAGTCTTGTCGAGAGTCCATGGTTAGCCGTTTGGATTTGACACTCAAAGCAGTCTCCGATTGGGGCGATGCCAAATTTAACATTACCAAAACGCAGGTGAGTTTATTCTCCACAAAACGGAGTCCCTTTGAGCTAACTCCGACTTTTCGTGATGTACCTATCTATACCGGTAGCCGACTGTCTCCAGCTACTTGGAATGGACCTGTCGTCTAATTTGTATTTCGGCAGATACATTGAATCCATGGCCAAACGTGCAGCAAGGAAGCTTGGGATCCTTTCCAGGGTAAGGCGTTACTTCACACCGGGACAAGCACCATATCTTTCTACGTTAGTTTTGATTATAGTCGGGTGACTTTATAGGGAGATTATAGGGAGAGAGAGAGGGATTAGGATAGGGAGGGTGCCCTACCTACCCTTATATACGAGAAGGACACTATAACCTGTGCGCGCATAGGAACTGTACAATTTCAGATTCTGACCCCATATCAGCCAGTGTACAGGGTTCTCACAGACCTCTCTCACTTGTCTTCATCCAGTTCTTTGAGAGGCTAGTGCTTCGGGTGAGCCACCCCGGGTTCATGTACAGTACCCTCCCTATTTTTCAGATAGGTACCGGAGCTGTAGGCACGCTCCCTTCTCGTTGCGCATTACACAACTAGCAGTTGCCACCGCTAAACCGTCAACTCTGTGTCCACTACCAAATCTCCTCATTGGTGACGGAGCCGCATGACACTCTCACTTCCCAAAAACGACGGCTCTTCAGTTCCCAATAACCTAAGCTGCTGGAGGGACCGGAGGATATCTAGCTTATCCTCTACTAGCTCTCCGGGCTAGTGCCGGAGATGCCAGTCGCAGTGTCCTTCGAGAATGTCCGGACACAGCTTCCAACTTAAAGTGCTACTCACATGTCCTGCGCGTCTCCTCTCATACAGGCCCTCAACTAGACCGCTACTAAAACGCGCTAGCTGCTCACGAGACAGACGCCTCGGACACATGCAAAACCGGGACAGACAAACATGTCCGTCTCTGCAGCTAACCACAAACCCCAGCGAGTCAGTACCCAAGTCCTGGTCCGCACAGAGACGCAAATGCGTATCAATTACGGAGGGATTGGCCCGGACGTCCGCTGTACCCTGGTCGGTAGTCGAGCCCGTAGTCACTCCGGAAAACCATATCTCTCGGGTCGGTGGATAGGGACAGTTGCTTCAGCTGTACTACGCACAAGTCCGGTCGTGCATGGAGTACTGTTGCCACCTTTAGGATGGTTCTGTTGCATACCAACTGGCCACTATTGATTGAATTGACAACCGTGCCAAGAAGCTTATAGGTGGCTCGGCATTAGTGGAGGCGAAGCTGCAGAGCCTTGAACACCGCCGTAAAGTTGCCAGCTTATCGGTATTTTACAGGATATATCACAGATAGTGTGCGATGGAATTACACGATTTAATTCCGCTTTCACCTTTCTACCACCGGGGGACTAGGCGTAGACTTGGGTTCCACTTCTATGTTGTGGATATTCCAAAGATTCGCACGAAGCGTTACGCTACGACATTCATATGGCGAACGGCTCTGGAATGGAATTCCCTGCCTGCAGACTTGTTCCCTGAAAATTATAACTTGGGTCTTTTCATGGCAAAAGTGAATAGGCTTTCATCCATCGTCGACCTCATCGTCACTGTCCATCAGACGAGATGGAGGTCAAATGCGAACTTACATTTTATAAAAAAAAAATTTTTTAATTAGTTTTGTCTTAGAAAAGTAACTTTCTGACGTCGCCATTTTCACATACACAATACGAAGAGGCGGCGGTGCGAGGAAAAACGCGGCGGCGGCGGCGCGCCAGCGCGGCGCGGGCGCTCATGTCAACATGGGACTTGTCAACTTATGTCTCAGGGTGACGGGCACAGTGGTAGTGCCCCTCAGATCTTTGAGTTTTAAAGTCCTGAGTGGCATTGCAACTGTTATGGACAGACGTGTCGCTTACCACCATGCGCACGACTTCGTCGTCCCGTCACTGGGTATCATAAAAAAGTGTACTTGGCTTGTGCAAGTTCACTCGCTTGTGAAGCTATATACCTTGTAGAAGGACCTATAATGTGCACCTAACGTCTTCATAATGGAGCCGATAATGTGAATACGGGTCGGCACAGTACGATTTCTCATTTAAAAAAGATTTGTGAATGCTTCAATAACACTATAAAATAAATTTTTAAAAAGGTTCTATTTCTGCTTTGCCAGTATTGGTTTCTGTTTTAACAAGTAAGGAGACAAGATTAGAGACCCTTAGAGGATGGAAAAAAAAATTAAAGAAAGGAGCTGCCCTAACTACGGAATGAATGTGCATACATAAACAAAAGTGAAGGAACAAATGGCGGATTTCTTTAGTGTCGTACCATTATCTATCGTTAAGTCATTATCGACATGCAAACATTTGATTAAAGTAAATCAATATTCCATTTGGGAATATTTTAGATTATATGGGAATATCCGGGAATGTTACATGAAATTTTGACTTTGTTGTTTTGCGTTTACAAATACACAAATATTACGAAAAGTTAACTTGCACAGAAAAATAATATTTGTAATTTGAAAGTATATAAAAAAGAGAAAACTGAAATATAAATCCTATACATTTCCAACGTCAAGATTCATATTTTCATAGAGAAATTTTTAAACAGATTCCAAATAGTGTAAGCTTTTTTGTATTTATGCATTGGTATAGAGTTAATACCAGTGACTGATTTAAGTGTATCTTTAATACTTAAATTTAATTTTGGAAATAAATGGAAGTAGTAATATTATCAATAATAATATTATTATCATACGTTTATTTGCTTAAAACATGGTATAACAGGAGATGTAACTAGAGACAGTGTTAGTAAATGTCTGATTGTGCAATGTCAATTGACTACTATTGGCCGAGCGCCTTTGATTTGTGCAGAAAAATCAACACTTCTCCGAAGTGAGACACGTAGTTACGAGCGACTGCGAGTTGTGACAAGCCACGTCAAACGAGCTCTATACACGTTAGCGCTCGCCTTCACTCGGTCAGCTAGGCGAGTGACACCGAACGATGGCAAGGCAAATAGGCTGTCTATACGTTGGTATTGCCCTTCACCCGGCAACGTTAGACCAACATGGTCTTTGTATTGCTGGCTTTATAAAATAAGAATTTTTAAGTTAGAGTTGTCATGTCAGTGGGAAAAAATCGGAACGAGTGGATAATTTTGTTTTCAGGAACTGAGAATGCCTAGTAAGTGAGTCTTGTTTAATGTAAATTAAATACAAAATTATTTACCAATAAACCTAATGTTGGAATTGCATTATCATATAATCTAGTTACATTTAAAGTTATGTTAAAATTTGACTTTTCAATATGAAGCGAATAGATGAAGATGGTCCTTGATTCAATGTTTTATATTCGGCACTATTATACGGCGGTATAATTTCCAACCATCTTTTTTCTTTTTTGATTTGTAGGTAAACTTGAAATAGTAAAAATAATAATAATAAAATAATGAAAACCTCGTAGCGAATTATTTTAATAACAGGATATCGATAATAAATACGCTTCCAAGAAAAACGCTATCCCAAAATAATCGTTAACAACAATCATCAAAATATACAAACAAACAGGCAATCTGAAGAAACCAAAGCAAATTTTGGCAAGATTTATGAATAAACTACTTAAATATGTCTAATTACATGAGATATTTAATTTAATTACATGTAACGCGGCAGCGACGAATTTTTATTAATACTTAATTGTTCTCACCGTCAATTTTTGTCCATTTTATAACAATACATGCGAATAATTGAATAAAACACTTGAAAAACATTTGTTTTGACATTTGATGTACTTCCCTTTGACAACGGTATCATGTACCTCATGTACTGCGAAATGGACACGGTTGGCATTTAAGATGACGTTACGTATTTTCGATTCTCGTGTTTGACATAGACCAATGTAATGCTATCTCTTTTGGCTTAAGAGGGCACGCAATAGTTAAACAAAGACAATAACATGTTTATGTTTTCAACGTCGAAATGCATCATATACATAAAACGGTCATCATAACATGTCCTTTAGTTTCCATAGTCTAAGGTTATTTCTCTGAAATTTTGCTAGTGCGGCCGTCACATACATACATACATAGCGATATTTCCACAATCTACACATATCAGAAATAGACTATTGATTTCAATTACAATATTCCCCTTTTGGTCTTTAATAAAGAGAAACATGAAAATTTGCAAAGTCCAACTTTTCGTTGTCCTGACCGCAAAAGCAAAATTCTTGCAGGGTAATAGGAGTTTTTTTTTCATATTTTTATATTAGAACCTATCGGAAAATGATATTGATAAGGCAGAAACTCGTGTTACGTGGTGTAAAAAAATCATTCATTTGTTCAAAATTACTTTTTTGTTACATTTATTAGATGATTGTTACTAACTATTAATTTATTTTGTTTCAGTTTAAGATTAGATGATCTAAAGCCGAAGAATCCTCTACTAAATCCACTGCACATAACATCGAAATTGCACTACAAGGAAGATAAGACGTTGCAAAAAGCAACTATAGAATGTATTAATCCAAAAATGATGTTAAAAACGTCTGACAGTTGTAAATATCGTAAACCTTCCGCTGCTGTACGTAGCAACTACCAAAACGCTTTTACGTGCGAGCATATTATTATACGACCAGGTGCAAATGACCTCTGTTTGGAGTTTGTAGCTAAGCAATGTGGTACTTTTAAATTGGGTCAGGTTTCTCTGACCATTGAAGAGAAGTTGGAGTTTCTGTGTAATGCGTTGGTGAATAATAAGGTGGGATATGAAGTTGTAACGCAGGGTATTAATGTGTATTTGAATAAAGTTGAGCCGAAGAAAGATCTGGTTGCTGGACTAGAACACGCCATGGAGCTTGTGGTGACAAGTGGCAGCTCGCATATACAGGAGGTGAGTAAAAACATTTGAAGACCAACATCTTCTATACATACAACAAAAATGACAACCATGTCTTTTCTCCCAATGGAGAAAAGACATGGTTGTCATTTTTATTATTATATTTTGATATTTCAAAGCACGTTTGCAGTGGTTACCATAGGATTGGAAATAGCTCAAACATGAAAGTATTATTTCAAATTTCTAGAGATATGTATATGTATAGTAAAATGACAATAAACTGATTCTGTGAATGTATTGTAATTAGTGATAACCATGTTTCTATCCTTGTAGTAGCCATTTTAAATATTGTTCACCTGCAGGGTGTTCTAGGCTTTATTTACGTTGTGATCCTGGAGATACTTTTTTAAACTAATTTTTCTGTCAGTAGCTATAACCTTTCTTACTTCGCTGGCTCAGCGACCCAGAGTGGATCTTGGCCTCGGACACCAAAGTACGCCATTTCTGTCGATCTTGTCCCAATTCATATTGTCCTTTCGGACACCTTTACTTATTACTTTCGGTTGATCCTCTCCCATTCTTTCCACATGTCCTTGTCCTTGCCAACGCTTTAGGGCAGGTTTTATTTCCCCGATTATGTTCGGCTCAGACACTAATTCTTCTGTCTCTCCATTCAATCTGGTCCTCAAATTCCCAGATTCTCCTTTGATTTGTCCCAGAATCTTTCGTTCTGCCACTAATAATTTATGTTCTTCCTTTAGCGATAGTGTCCATGTTTCACACCCATACATTACGATTGACCTATTTACAGTTTAACTAAAACTATAAGCTAATTAAAAAAGACGTGTATGTTTTATTTACTCGAAAAACAAACCTTTCACCACTAATATAATCTCACGTTTAAAATATTTCAGAAAGCGTCTATACTCCTAAAAACATCTACGGGTTTGCTCATACGGTTTGCGGACGACGACTCCGCGATGGTTCGCGAGTTGTCCATCCCGGTGCCGCCCAGCAAGCCGTTTGAGACGACTCGCATTCAATTACGGCTCTTCGCTACTTTGCAACAACCGCGTAGAGAAAAGAACATTGAACACACTGTAAGTGCTTCAAACGTAAGGGCTTTATCAAACCAACACGTCCAGACGCCTTCCAACTTACACAGTCAAAAATTTGTTAACCAGTCACACACGGAATGCGGAGTTGTGTACAATCGAAAGTTAAGTAAATTCAAATGGTTTCCTCGCCGAACGGTTACCTTGCCGGACTGCCACGCAGAGGTCCCAGGTTCCCGGGCCAGGAGAAATATTTGTACAGCCTACATTTATTTCTCTCGTGAGTTTGGGTGTAATTTGGTGCTGTCTATGGCACCCGCAACACAGGTTTTCCCTATAGTGCGGGCCTATGATGAGTGTGTGCGTTATTATTATTCATCGAGTATATAACCAGAAATAGAGACGAAATGTCATTTAATTTGTTTGAAAACTATTCTGCCATATCATTACTGTGACAACTGCGCTCCGATTGGCTAGTCCGAGTTCGAAACAATTGACGGGTGTCGTCAACTGTTTCACTTCAAATCGACCAGTTAACTTGAGTTGTGCTATAATGAACGAAAATTGCTAAATTACATATTTAATTACCGATGAAATGTGATTCTTTTTATTTTGTAATTAGATATTTTGCTGTTTTTCCCACACCACCGAATAGAACAGCACGGCATTGTTAGAGATATTATCTTTATTACAATAAACACAGATTTTTTTGGATTATACGTAGACGTAGACACAGGTCAGTAGTTGGCCTGTCTATATTTCAATACAAACGGGAGTTGATATTTATAAGAGCTGTATCGCTAATGTTTTACCAGGAATATATGGCCCTTATTTCGTCTCTATTTCTGGTTATATACTCGATGTTATTGTTAAATGGGTCTCAATTGTTCGCCACGGCGGCCATAGACAAGGACGCATCTGGACGCGTTGGTATCATTAACTGTCTACCTACTTGGCATCTGGAAACCAATCGTTGACTTGTACAGGAATAATCAATTTTTATTAATGAATTTGAAAAATACTCAACGAAATCAGGAAACTGAATCAATATTATATTAAAAACTAATAATTTTTCAATAGAGTTCGGAATAGGCAGACTTTATGTAAATATATAAATAATGTGTAATGTAATAAGTCACTATATTTACAAAAAGTTCAAGTAATAGACGCAGAATGGATAATACCTACGCCTGTATACCCGGAATGATGAAAAACAAAAGGTAAAAATCTGAACCAATTATTGTCTTTATTTACAAAACAGAACTTTTCCGCGAAATACGCTGTCGTAGTAATTAATAGATGTGTGTGCATTGAGTGAGCACCTCTGAAGATCGTTTATAAAATATTAGTCATTTAATAGTAGTTCTAAAATAATTGTAGAAATCAATCTTTCTATTTGTAAAAACATAAAACAATAGACAAATAATGTGTGCTCACTCAGTTCTCAGAAGGCCAGTCAGAGGTTCCAAAGTATTAAGTTTGCATGTACTATTCGTGTCCTAGTTTTTAGTAGTAGTTTTGTTGTTAAACTATCGTCTTTAGTTGGACATAGTTATGCAAACTCGAACCAACCCACATAATGTCACTTTCGAGATAATTAGATTTTTGTAAAAATAGAGTGAAGAAATAAATAGGTAAGTTATTTGAGACAAACAACGTGAGTTATGTGTAACATTGGGAATGATGTGGGAAAACTATTATATTGTATAGCAATAAATAGAATACATTATGTATCTTTTTATTTAGTTTACGAGAACCATGTTCTAGTTCTAGTTTTCGTAATGAAAACGCTAAAGATCTGCAGTACTTCAGTACATGTGATATGGATCCATTTAGCATATTTACAAAAATACATTATATGAAGTTAAGCAGCATGGTTCTTTTTATCTATTAAAAAGTTACTTATTTAGGGTTGGTACCCTGAAGGTCTTTTATTTTCTCCGTTTTGGCTTGGTATATTGCAAGGATCTTTTGTTAGCGGGTAAAGGACACGTTTGGTGTTCTACCTAAATACATAACTGAATTTCAATCAAGGTGTGGGTTGGTTCTTGTTTGCATAACTATGTCCAATTACAGATCAATTAGAGCCTTTTTAAAATTTTTACAAATATTTTCTTATACTCACTCAACCCACACGCTTTCAAAAGTTACAATTTCCTACAAACCAAGTAATGGAATTAAGTTTCGTTTGTATAGTTTTAGTAAAAGTTATTTATGATTTTGTAAAATATGAATGAAACCACTAATGTGGGAGGGTTGGTTTTGAATAATATTTTTTTAAGTGCTCACTCAATCCTCACATTTCTGAAAAGTAAAAAACGTCAATAACTTTTAGTTTGTGTAAATATAAATGTAAATACTTTTGTGGATCTAATTGGCACTATGTGAGAACTGAGTGAACACACATTAGGTTATTTATCTTTTATCTTTTTACCAACAGAAAGATTGGTTTCTACCATTTCTATCATTTGGAACGACCACTAAATGACTTATATTTTATAAACGTTCTTAAGAAGGTGCTCACTCAATGCACACACACGTGTAACTACTTGTTACTAATTAAAAATATACAACGGAATACAATATAATAATTCTGGGATTTCAGAGGGCAGTGTTATCCACTATAAGTATTATCTTCTTGAAGTTGAAATAAATTTATTCTACCTATTGTTATGTCTGGTTATCAAAGAGATTTGTTCGTTTTTCTTACAACGTGTGAAGTGTGATTTTTGTATTTTTAAATACAAAAACTGTGCACTTTCATACCCATCGTTTAATTTTGTTTAATTTACCATTAATCATAATTGCATTTTTCTATTTGTCAAGTCGGAAAGATTCAATAGATAAGTAAAACCTCTTGACTCTGTAGGTATGGCTAAACTGCCCATGGTGGAACACTGTGACAGAAGTGCCTCTACATTTCTCGCCGCCCATGGTGGCGTCCTGGCGTCTCCTCACTTCTAACACTAGAAAGTTCGTCCACATCACATTGAAAAGTACGGTCGCCCATCTTATTAAGTTCGAACTCACTGACCCTAAGCTAGAGTGCGATGGAAACAACAAAGTGTCCGATTTGAACCCGAAAAATGTTGGCAATTTGGTAAGTGTTTTATAGTGATTTTATGTATACATGGTATAGGTAATCGTTAAGTGTGCCCTGGCGATTATTCCGTAACTATAAGAGATATCGAAAACCTTCAAACTGATATCGAAAGAACGTTACCTAATGAATAAAACGATACCTGTCAATGACTTCTTTGAAATAAAACTAGACATATCTGAAAGCTCTCATGTATTTAATATAATATTAGTAGAAAGTAAGTACTTACGACAAGGAACATGGTCTGTGGGTACTCCCTATTATTCGTAGTCTCTATTGTCTTCTGTGTAATTATGCTTAGCATCGGCATTGTCCACAAATTCTCATTACCAACTCTTATGTTCCAGACATTAGCGTCCGATGGCACAACTGCATCTTTCATGTGGGAACTTTTGAAAGACCCACTGGTGAAAGGCGGTCCTATGAAAGCGTCGTTTACCATACAATACCGCGAATCGAACGTTGACGTACCTTCTAGAACATTCTCGTGTCCGTTCGATATACAGGACTATACAACTTTGTTCGTGATACGAACGAAGCTGGAGCCAACTAAGGGATCGGACTTCTGTCGTGCGTCTCAGGTGTGCTGTTTGCAACTTAGTGTCCAAAGGGTAAGTGTTCCAAAATATTAGGGTTTATCTTAGGTGCATTCTTTTATAACCTGTCTGTTACTTTACTCGGTCATGGACAGTACCTAAATCACAGGACATTGAATATAGTAGCAGAGGTTGCTTAGCATAGCGTGTATGCCAACTGTAGGCGTAGTTCCGCCTACTTGAGCTCAGTCCGCCATATTCGCTTTGTACTTTGTGGTTGTGTCAAATCGTAGAAAAATGTCTTATTGTAGTATTTTGGAGTGCAAAAATAATAGCCGCACCAAAAATATTAGCCGTGGTGATATTTCGTAACATATCGGTCTTATTTTAATAAATTTTCAATTTTCTCTTTATTGAATTGATTTTTTTACTGTAACAAAGGAAAGTAAACTTTATCCCAGAGCAGTACGGTCGAGATTTATCTTTGGAGAATTAAGTAAACATCTCGGATTTTCGACGCTAGTAGCGAACAACTTAGCGAAATAATGCGACATGATTGTTTCGTCCATTTTTAAACTTATTTATCGAAGCAAAGTGCAATGTGTGCATTAAAGAAGGCATCTGTTGTTGAGAAGATACTACTTTCTATTCGTTAACAAGTTAGTCGTTCGTCGTAGACCAGCTACTAGCCGCATATGACAGCGCGTTGAATAAAATTACAATATAAAATCAAAACATCGTAACTTGCAATACAGTTATTGAAATTTCAACGATATGGCGACTAGGTAAATTTCAATTATAACAGTTATTAACAGTCCAAAATTTGTTACGTCTTTTGAAACTACAACCAATCATTATCAAGATTTGAGAGTATTTATCATTTATTCTGATAGTAATCTAGGCTAAAGGCATTTGCATTGTTTTTTTTTTTCATCCGTGACTTAAATAGTACCCCACACAAAAATGTCACTACTTTGTGCAGTAGTGCTTATATTGATTCAATATAAAACGTTCAATGTAAATCATACAATTTTGTCATTATGTTGTTGATACTTTTCAATCGAGAAGCAATAGGCGGTGAACACAGAAAGCACTTGGAAATTGCTCTATAAAGCCCGTAATTGGTTTTTTGAAATCCATGTATCGAACCGGGTACTACACACTGTCATTACAGTCTGATATTTATAATTTTACGGTAAACGCCGTTGCTGCCCATGAACGGGTAAAATAATTAAGTTTAATCTTGCCAAATGGGTAGGTAGTTAAACTAACGTAGTTAAGAGTCTATACAACCTCAAATGGCTGTGTTTGATTCCGCACAACAGTGAAACTTTGGAAAAAATATGTAGTAAAATTGATGATATACGCTGATATATATATAACTGCCTCCGTGGCCGAACGGTTACCATGCCGGACTGGCACGCAGAGGTCCCAGGTTCGATTCCCGGGCCGGGCGAAATATTTGTATGAACTACATTTATTTCTCTCGTGAGTTTGGGTGTAATTTGTGGTTGTCTATGTATGTGTCCACGGCATCCGCGACACAGGGTTTCCCTAGTGCGGGGCTATGTTGAGTGTGTGCGTTATTTAAAAAAAAAGTGTGTGCGTTATTACTATACAGCGCACACATTAAAACACGACTCCTAAAAATTTTCACGAAATTTTTACAGGAAAACCGCTGTATTCAATGTGTACTACTTTACATATTTCAATGATTTCAGTCAATCAAAAATTGAATAATATACATTATTCAAATGACTTTAATTTATAATAATAATGACGCACACACTCAACATAGCCCCGCAACATAATCCCTGTGTGGCGGGTGCCATGGACACACACATAGACAACCACAAATTACAAAATCCTGACCGTGTGATATCTCGCAGAGGCGATCGCAATTGGCCTTTTTTATTTTTATTAGATTAAAAAAATAATCTTAAAACTGCTTTCCTTGTTTCAGGTGAACGAAACGGAGTACACGTCTCTAATGTACGAGGTCCTAGCCGATCAGACAATGTGGGCTGTCTTAGGCCGAACTGCCGGTAAGCGAAGTTACTGGATACATATCATCAGTGATCACTAATGGTCAGATAATCGAAGTTACCTTTAATTCGGTTGCTGACAAACATGGAATACGCTTTAAGGCTGAATCGTATTACAACGTGCCGAGGCCAGGCCGTGCTCCGGTCGTACGCTGGCTTGGTATATGCTTTTGTATGAACTTCATGTTAGACGGGACCGAGTCCGTGTCACGGCTGAGACACGATCGGAGCACGGCGTCGAGTATTTTTTCCGGTTCCAACACAACCCGATCGCGACACGTCGTAATATGAATCCAGTCGCCGAGCACCCGGAGGGTAATCAACGTTGGACTATAGTGTAGTGGACAGCGCAAGCGCAAAATGCTGTCATCATCTTTTAAATATTTGCGTGGCAAATTCTCATTCGGATTCTCGTTATCTCCAGACAGGATGTACACACCATTTTCTTTTTTTAGTTTCAATTTGTGTTTCCAATACTTCGTCATCGAGAGCGATTGCAATTGCTGATAACTCAAGTTCTGAAAATTGCATTAATAACATAACCTTATCACTCAAGAGAAAAATGGAAAATGACAAAAAACAACCGGCGGAACACGGTGGAAACGAGACATGTTACCTATCAATAGTCCGAAATGATATTTTCTAGAAATAACGTTTGCTCGAATTTTCGTAACCTCGAAAGTAATTTTGAGAGGAAAATGTTTTTTATTTTAAACCTAACTTAACCTGACCTAACCGAATATAATCGTGTCTTTGCAATAAACATCCAACATATCCTGAAAGAACAACGGTTTCGTTATAATTCGGTTTTCGGTGTAATGAAAATTCGAACAAACGTTATTTCGGAAAAAATATTCGAGTTTGAAATAGGTTACCAACGAGACGGCACTGTGACGGCCCGGACCCGGCACGGGTGTAACGTGAATCAGCCTTTAGTATCGATAAAATCCTGCTATATCGGGATGGACGAAATTATGCAGTATAAAATTGAAGGAAAATAAATGCTTTATCTTCCATTTCCGTCCCTCTCAAGGAACCCCCATCGCGTTCGTAGGACCCGTCGGCCTGGGGAAGTCCTCTACGACCCTGACGACTCTATCCCTCACATGTATTCACGAATTTTTTACGAAACTCGGGCTTTACGATGAAAGTAATGCGAAAGTAGTCATTTGACGTTTCGGAGTAAGATATCAATACAAACACTTATATCAAATCACGATCTTCGTACGCACTACGGGCCCGATATCGGATAAAAGCGTTTCGTTGTAGCCTCCGGTCCGATACCAAGCTAAAACATCTGTCGACCTTCATGAAGGAGGACTTTTGGCCGAAGGGTGTCATGCTCCTGCGTTTCCGAGGACGGCTATCGGACACCAATGTTACGTCACACGTCGCCATCCATAAGTGTAAATGAATAAATCGTTTTCATTATATTATTATATATATATTATGTTAGTCTATAAGGTATGTGGTTACTTTTGTAACCTGAAAACAAATAAATAAAACGATGATCGTTGCTTCGTATTTCATGGTAGACCTCCAGATCCTTGCTTGTATGCCAGTACAACTATACGTAATTTTATTAAGAATGAAGATATCTCCATAATATTAACTTTAGAACTAAGTCCAAACTCATAGTACCACGATTTCGTTTAACTAGGGTAACGATTCTTTTATATTAAGATTATCATTTCCTAAGTTTGGAACTTAAATTTTTCAGTTGAAAAGTCATGTTACAAAATAGAAGAACACACAATTATGATTCGAACTGTATTCCATATCATTTAAGTTATTTGAAAAGAGCAATCCCTAGAGTTTGTTGCTCGTTCTTCTCAGGGAATTCAGCGCAGTGAAGTAGCTTAAGAAATGACGTTTTCAAGTGTAAAAATTTTACCTACGGAATAAATGGTTGACTTTCTGATGATAACTTATTAAATTGTTTTAAGGTGTAATAACAATGGAGTCTAACTGCACGGAGCCTCAAAGCGTAACGCTAGACGTGATGCCATTGGTAGCTGGATACCTGCCGCTACCCACCGTCCGGCTCTCTAAGTACATCGCCGCTAACTCCAAAGGTACATTAGCCTGTCCATATCGCTAGAGTTAAGTTGGGTAACTTTGAACACTTTTATTAGGTTTTCACGATTTTTTTTTTATATACCAAGTGACGGGATGAGCAAGTCTTTCGCCTGGTGGTCGCCAGGTTTATATATAACAAATGCTTACTAGAGTTGCAACAATAAAACATCCTTAGTAAGCTAAACAAACTGGCTAATAATTCACGATTTGTGCAGGGATTCATGAATCCATCTTTCAGAAGTTATTAGCATAGAATGTAATGAATAGAATGCGTCTATTGTCTGGTTGTGATGAAGCATAATAATAAGTACTTAAAAATTTACAAGTACACATACCTACTTTATTGCGCAAAAGAAGTTGCCGGCTTAAGCCGCCTTTATTATCCACGTAGATGGCGTGTTCTTTTTTATGACCATTTAGTAGTGATGGGACGAACAAGTCGTGCGCCTGATGGTAAAAGACATCATCATCATCATATGTGCGATTTATGTATAGGGGTGGGTACGACATGGACATTCGACATAAGTTTCATCTTGTGCACGTTCATTTTTGGACCCACCTGCTGGGAAACTATTGAGGTCACCGAGCATGGGGCCAAACTCTTCCAGCGATTCTGCCATGACCACGACATCGTCAGCAAATCGAACTCGCCATCGATGATGAATCTTTAAGGCATCTTCCAATGCAGTAGTGAACAGTTTCGGAGTAATGACGTCTCCCTGTCGCACTCCTCTTTGCAATTGGATAGGCCTTGTGCACTGGTCCTGGAGTCGAACTGACATACTGGCGTTTCTGTACAAACACTTCAACTCTTCGATATATCGATAGTCAATGTGACACCGTTGTAGACACTGTAACACCGCCAAAATCTCGATCGTTTCAAAGGCTTTCTCATAGTCCACAAACACTAAGCATAATGCCATTTTATACACCTCGGTCTTCTGTATAACCTGCCGCAGCGTGTGGATGTGGTCTGTGGTACTGAAGCCCTTCGGAAACCGGCTTGTTCGGGGGCTTGAAAGTCACTCGTGAAAACAGCTCATAAACGTGGCTTAGAAGCGAGATGGGCTTGTAATTCTTCAATAGGGTGTTATCTCCCTTTTTGAAGAAGAGTATCACCACGCCTCCATTCCACGCTTCTGGCGTAGAACCTTCGAGCAAGACTGAATTAAAGAGCCTCTGAGAGATTCTTGGTACCAGTGTTCCACCGGCTTTCAGAAGCTCGGATGTAATTCCGTCTTCACTCGGTGCTTTGTTGTTTTTTAGCTGTTTCAGAGCCATCCTGATGAATGCCACCCCTGATGGTAAACGATACGCTGATCCATAAGAGTTGCAGTGCCATTTAGATCTTTAAATCTCAGAGATCTGAGGTGCACTTACTCTGCGCCCATCGCCCTGAGACATAAGTTGACGAGTCCCATATGCCTGTAATTTACCCTTCAAAATCGGAACCTACTAATGCTGACGTTACTGTTTGGCGGCAGAAATAGCTAAGGTGGCAGTACTTCCTTGAACGAACTCTTTCACAATGAGCTCTAAAATGTATTCACTCACCGAATATCATCGGTCAAAATCCGAGTAACAAACGCGTGTCGTCCTTAACTTGACGTTGGCGGAATCCTCGATTGTTCGATGGAGCTGTAACATTTAAAAAAGAAGAAGAGATCTTTCCGTTTCACGCAGCTATGAATGTATTTGACCTTAATTTTTTTTTTATCTTTGAAATATAAAGATTTTTAAGATTTTTTTTCTAAATTTTATTCAAAGTTACTCAACTTGGTGGTAATATCTATAACCGATGTTAACAACTCGACAGTCCCACGGAATAAACGTGTATAATGCGTAATAAACGTGTAGGTAACACACGTTATTCAGTCTCATTCTCGTAAAATACACTTAGTGTTTACGTAAATTATCAGCAGGGCTAGCACGATAGGGTGCGACTTGCGCCAGAGCGACAAAAAGCGCGAGATCTCTATGCCAGAATAGCAGTATGTCGCGCATTACGTCGCTCTCGCGCTAGTCGCGCCATTTCGTGCTAACCCTACTGTATTTTAATTTAATTAACTTTTTGTTTTGTTATTATTTATTTGTGTCTTACGTATGAATATTTTTAGTATTATTATTTTTTTGAGTGATGTCATTTGTGGTAAATGTATTTTCTTTCTTCTTCCAGATCTTAAAAAAGAGAACCTTGGTCACCCCCGTCTGGAACCCTTCAGTCCTGGGCAGGTGTACCACGCAGGCAAAGCGAAACAAGTGCACGTGTTACCGCCGGCGCCCAAGGACCACATTGACCCGACGGTCTAGAACTACAGGTGGAGACTGGCCAGAAACGATTTAAAAACAAGAAGTAAACATAAATTACACCGACGGCATTAACTGCGTTTATCACTTTTTCTTTACGCGTTGAACACGTACAAAAATTATCCCATACACTAATAGCTTTCAGAAATATTTCTAAAGGGGATTTCTTCCCGAGAATATTATATATTTGGATTTTGCAAAGTAAGCGTTGATGTTGATAGGGACTTTTTAGGTAGGCATGCATGATCATCCTCGACAAAATCATTTACCACCAGATGAAGCCATAAACAATTATATTGTAAGTAGAACCTTTCAAGATGTATGGCACCTTTATACAAAGTTTTTAGTTTATGGCGATATAGCCACTAAAAATGCGAATAATGCATAATGTAATTTACAATTGAAGTACGGTACTTTAATCAGAAAGGTATACTGCAGCACCGTAGTGTTGAAGCTATTGATGTGTATAGATAATAACTGGCGTAGCGTCGATTTCTGCTGCCCGGGGCAACCTTAAATTTGCTGCCCCTCTATTTTCACTATTAGAAAAGTAGTTCGTTCGGGCAGACTCGACTCGATTGCGTTTTTATGTTCACCTGCCGTCGCCATCTTTGTGTTGTTCAGGATAGCGTTTTCTCAAATAGTGGAATTTGTTTACTTAAAAAAATATTTTTTAAAGTAATTATCGTTTTGACTGGGGCTGGGGCGCGCTCGCTACCGCCTCTTGCTACGCCAGTGAGACAATCGTTACTAGAGTTTGCAATCTCGAAATATCGATACACATTTTCTGTACCGGGATCTGTGATTTTCACCGCGTTTGCTCTTGACGTTTATGAATAGTACATTGCTGCTTTTAATACAGCTTGGCCAAGTAACTAACGTGGAACGTGTATTTGTCCTTGTTCAGATGCTTGCAAATACGAGTATACGTAAGTGCATCCTTTGCAAAATTAAAATTCGATTTTCAAAAACTATGTTTCCCAAATAATAGTAAAGAATAGTGCGTACAACTTCAAAACTAGCTTTTTTTATGCTCTACCAATGGGTACGACGTAAAAGCCTGTACGCACATATAAGTGCAGTACCGTACCATTACTGCTTGGCGGCAGAAATAGATAAGGTGGGTGTACTTCCCTGGACGAACTCTTTAACTCTTTCACAAGGAGCTCTACGGCTACTTTATGGAACAATATCATTTTTCACTTACACTAGACGTTTCCGACAATGATCGCCACGTGTCGGAACTGATATGTGCGTATAGACCATAAATGTCGCAGGGACCAGTCGAACAGTCGCATTGCGACTGTATGTCGCACGAATTAACAAGTCAGAACCCACGCGAGTATCGCAACGTGTGCGGTTTACTTACCAAACTCGCGTTCGAATTTTAAAGTGAAGTGACATTAATCTAGGCCCGGAACTACAATGCATTCGGCTTTAGGTGTGTATTTTGCTTCGTGCCGAATGATACGAATTTTCGTAATCGCGACTACCCGAATATAATATACGCAACAACGAAGACTGGCGAAGCTTTTCAGTTTTCTATTTATAATTCATTTACTTGGAAAGTGACAGAACGGTGTCACATTATTCCTAAGAACTTTTACAAAGATCCAGTGAACTTCTGCTATATTGGTACTCGAATCCACTGTCACGCGACCTTACTTTAAAAACCCGAACATATCTGGAAATAATTGAAAGTGAAATAAGTTTATTGGGATAAAGTTGATGTTTTTCGTAATCGTGACCCTATTACACGGTACCCAGAATGCTAAAACAAATAGTGATAAAAATAAGCAATACGGATCGTAACTCTTACTAGCCGCATTTAATCATTTAAGTAGTGAAATATCAATAAAAATATTGTACTAAGATAAATGTAATACAAGTCAAGAACTGAATTTGTATATATTCTAAGAGCTTCTAGCTTTATATTTATAGATGTTGTCAATGCCACTACCTAATCTCATGGTGCATTTTAAAACGATCGACCATTTCCAAATAATTATCGCAATATTAAAAATAGCAAGAATTCAAACAGCTGACAAACATTGCAGCGCCAGTTACAAGAATATGACGAACACCGTACTCGTTTGAAAGTACCAAAGAAAATTTGCCTATAACATTCAAAGCAGTTAGCCAAAATGAAGTAGCAAAGCTAGCTTTTACTTTTGAAGTATTGTTTATTATTACACCAAGTTTAAGCAACGAATACTATGTGACTATTGACCTTGAGGGCCAAATAATCAAATAATCTTTATTTCATAGGTAAGCAAATTACACTTGAAAATTGTCACATTGAACTATATTACTCTTTCGTAAGGCAAATTCCTCTGAGAAGAATAAGCACGACACTAGGGTTCGCTCTTTGAAAACAAACATTTGTATATATTAAAGATTTATAATATTTATTTCAAATATCATGGACAATCTGCAAGAGCTAAACGGGTCACTACCATAGATTTTTTGTTATCCATGGTACTACAGGTTATTTAATGCTGTGTTCAACTTTCGTATTTCGGTTTGCTGTTAAATATCTACGCATATCAAAGAGTGACTGGTAGTCTGTCGTGGTAAATATCTCACAATGTTTACATCGCAGCTTATACCCGTAGTACGAGTTATTTTATCAATTCGTGGTGAAATAAACCCGTATCAGAATGTGTTTTTGACATGTCAACAAAGGAAGCGCTAGGAATATTTAGACGCGGCCTATTTAAATGCTAACCTCTCAACAGTCACTTAGCCAAAATTAAATAGTTGGTTCACCGAAACAGAACATACAATCCGTATCAATTTTATATCATAATAATGCATTGTATAATGAATTATGTTTTCATTTGTAAATGGTTCGCCTAGCTAATGTGTTAATTCTAAGAAAATTAATGGCAATGTTGTTTATTATATTCAAGATATGTGACGAAGCCAAAAACGTTTTTGTAAAATTATTTTTTTATGAAATTTTAAATGTGTAAGCTCTTATTTAGAATTATCTCTAACATTCTATGTTTTCTTTTATTACATGCCATACTACTTGTATATCACGGTACCACAACGATAATATTCTGCCTAGTCTCCGATCTTGTCTATTCTTTTTTATGACGTTTATTTTAATTTATAGATTGTACATAATTTTGGTGCTTGGTATCGAATTTAGACACGCAGTTAGCAAAGAGAGTGGTGTAATCAGAAAATCAGAAATAAAGGTTATAACGCAGATCCATCTATTTGCCAATTTCCAACCCGTACCATGAAGTTAGTAAAAATTATTGTACGTTTAAACTATAGTCTGCCTTTTTTGAAGACGAGTAAAAAGACATTTGCTGGGTTGCCCGTTTTCATAAAATTTTAAATAGTCATGTAGTTGTTTCGATAGTTTTATCGATAGTTTATGAAAGAAGGTAAAATTTTGCCTGAAATGTGAATGTTTCAACATTCCAATGATTACTAATTCCGTTACTGCCTTCTGCAGTCTTATTTTAACAGTTAGCCTACTATTATCGAAATCAAAATTGATTATAGAATGATTGATACAAATATAATAACAATTTAATGATATAAATTTTAACAAGAACAGGCGGATTTGATTATTTGTTATTGTAATGTAATAAAATGAAAATGTTTAAAATAGTTCGTTCTAGTAATGCAGTGTATGTATGTATGAACTTACAAAGATTGACAATTCAAGTGAACCTGTGCCAAGCTATTTGAAGAATAATGGTCCGATGATGATTCGAATTGAACGAATTCGGCTATTTATTGCATAAGCGTAACCAACATTCAGTCGATATTCGATAGAATATTTATCGACTGCAATCACTAGCTGCTTGTAAGCGGGCAGCACTTTTGCGCAATGAACTTTCATTTTACTCCATCTTCAAAAAAGACAAACTATAGTTAAACATCTTCCTCAATTTATGACATCTTCATCATTTAGTCAAGCCCTTGTTTTGTCTTTGTCGTATAAAAAAATTAAGTCAAAATCCAATAGCTACCGATTTTATATCACAATTGTGATAAACGAAAGTTTCACCGACAAACCAAAAACATCCTCCCCATATGTCTTCGTTGCATTTAGAAAATATAAAAAAAAAATCTAAAAAACCTACTTTAATTGTTTTCAGCTTACTTTTGTTTGAAAAAACAAATATACGCGATATAAATCCGGAAAAATAGTTTCATTTCCTATGTGTAACAATCGCGAAAACCTAAGAACTCGAAACCTACTTTAAATTGAAAAATGCTGTAACCACTTCATTTGCCGACTGTTTTAAGTACTCTGGGTAGTTTCTTTATTATTTAAAGCGTAGTATTTAGTTTGCAACTTTATTATATATTCCGTTTTATGTTGTGTTAGATTTCGTGTACGGATGTTATTGATTGTGACGAGTCTGTTGAAATTACCCTACTCTTTTCCCGATTACTGTAAATCCAAAAGAAGGGTAATATATTTGTGCGTATATAAGTCTTTGTACATATGTAATTACGTAACAACAAACGTTTTTGGTGTTATTTAAGCGGTTAGGACTGTTTATTTTTCTTATTTTCAATATAAAAAACAAATATGTTCAATTCTTTAACATTTTTTTTTATGACGAAATTCTATAATTCCAATTTATTACCGATTGCCGTCATAGTATACATTTTGTAATTACTTCGTATCTTTTATTTACGTATAATTTGAGAACTTGATATAAGCTTGCTAAAAGTTATAAAACAATTTAAATTGTACACCTAATGGAAAAACGAGGTATATATAAATTGAAATATGAAAATAGTATGATATGCTTTCAAGCTAAATTCCGCTATTTGGTACTGAAAAATTACAATTATTTCTTTTATTTTAAAAATAAACATGTCTGTGGCACTTAAACTTTTATTTATAAATAAATGGGTAAATAACTAATCTTGCCCTTGTTTTCTATAAGAATATGAGGGCAGTACACTGCGCCTCATTTGAATGGGCATAAGCATTTTGCCATCGGTCTGTCGGTCTTGTAATATTTTATAATAAAATTACGCATATGATGATAAGTAATGACGTCACGTATACCTTCGCAGTAACATCGTTATACAAATGAGATGAGCAAGTTTATATACTAGTAGTAAATTATTTCAACATTAAAAAACAAGAGCTTTTTTAAAATAACTCTACCCAAAGTACAGTTAGTACTAGAAATATTGAGAACACCTATTCTAGTAAGAAACCAGGGATGATTATGGTATAAATAGTATAATTTTAATATGATATAATTTTAATTTGTGTGTACTCATTGTGGTTAAATATTTATTAATTTTTTATTTTGGTGGATTATTTCATTTGTATGGGATTGTCTGGTCAATTATGTCAAAATATACACCAGCTTAAGTAATAAAGGACATCTAAAAAGGATGCAGTAAATGAAAACCTATTTGCTTTCAATATGGCTGTAATTTCTTAATTTGGCATGGTTGCACTGTGGTGCCCTCAGACAAAGCTTATATACACAATGTGCTAATGTAATAAAGTGGATTATACAAAACCCACTACAAACACATTTAAAGAAGTGATTTTTTTGTATATCAAAGACATTCTGTAAAGAAATATTTTATATCTCAGTCCGTAAAGCACTACTTTGAGCAAATGTGCGTATGTGAATTGAGTTATATTCGATTTGGATTTTTTCTTTCAAGGTTTTGTAGCTATCTAAGCACGTTTCTGGTGCATCGGTAATCTGATAATATACCACTTCCTAGTGGCACTTTTTGCTTTGTTAATATGACAACAAAATAAAAAGCGACTGTAATTTCCTACAGTAAGGCACCCTTAAAGGGGTTTTGGATGTTTTATTTGTCCACTGACGACATACATGTATGTTTGAAAAAAATACAATAGTGTAAATTGTAGCACATATTCCTAAACTTAAGCGAGCCAAATAAAAAAATACATTTAGTGTTTTCTATATTGTAGCTGTGTAGTCTGTCTTTTTTGAAGATGGTGTTAAATGACAGTTTATTGCGCAAAAGTGTTGCCCGCTTACAAGCAGCTAGTGATTGCGGGCGATAAATATTCTATCGGCTATGGAATTGATGTATGAAATAAATTGCCGAACTTGTTTCAAATGATTCATCATCGGCTCGTTATACGATCTACTGCTGGGCACAGGTTTATTTGAATTGTAAATTTTTGAAAATTCATACATACACTAAATTTAGAAGTATGTATATTAAAAATACAAATAGGAGACATGTTTTAAAGTGTTTCATTTTGATTAAATATACATAATCAAATCTACCTGTTATTATTACGTGTATGACTAAAAATTAATTTTTGATAGTAATAGAACAACTGTCAAAATAATAATAAAGAATACAATAACACAATTAGTAATCATTAGTCATACATTCACAATTCAAACATTTTTGGCAAAATTTTACCTACTTTCACAATCTATCGACAAAACTGTCTACATGACTATTTAAAATTTTACGAAACGTTATTTTACTCCACCTTCAAAAAAGACTGGCACGTCAACAAGCAAAACTCAAGAAGTATAACTACTGCCCTCTTTATCAAAACGAATATATCATTTTTACCGAAATTCAGTTGTTAAAATTTCTCTGGAATCGGCGAAAGGCGATCTACAAACACCTTTAAGCGATTTTTGTATATCTTATTTAGTTTCAGTTTTATTGTTATGCAAAATCAGCATTGTTGAAATTTTTAAAATAAAAAATGCTTGAGGTGCCAATTTCTCGAAAGTTACCAAAGTGCAAATACTTTAGTTATGACATGGAGGGCAGTATATTCATTCTGTACTTCAAAAGGATCTGCTTGGGTATTTTCTTTGTTGCCTGTCTAAAATGTGGCTTTCCTAGCATTGTGTGAACAAAAATATGTGGAAGACAAATGTATATAAACAAAAGTTGTGTACTTTTGATTTTGAAGATATAAAATGTGCCCGTTAAGTTTTGGCGTAACTTCAGAAATCCCTGTTACTTTAAAAAAATGTTTATAGAATATGTAAAAAAAAATAAGTACTGTTACAAATTTTTAAGTTTATTGAATGTCGCGATCTTTTGCTGCCATCAAATTCAATCAAACGACACAAAAGTCGTTAAAAACCGAAAACAATGATCTGCAAGAAGCACGTAGAAACATTAGTAAGATCTGCTGGTTCATTCCGTGACTTAATAGGCAGAGCATTTGCCACGGATTGTCCGATGGTGCTGGTTCGAATCCAGCCGGATCGAATGAATTATTCTAAGTGTTCGATCTTTGTTATTATGCTGTTACAAATATTTCTAAGCAACTACATACTTGTACACGCTTTTAAAGTACCTAAATTATCGTATTCCGACAAAATTTGTACTATAAGCCTATTATTAAAACTTTACACTGCATCATGAAAAAAATATTAGCATTTTAGATTGGTAATTAGCACTCCAGAAGATGTGTACCTATCTGTATACTTTGAAATGATTAATTCAGTTGCATTTCTCAATTACTTTTCAAAATTTTTATATACTTCGAGGCTATTCCTACGCCATTTTTGCTAAATTGTTCAAAAACATAAGGCTAAATCAGATTTCTTCGTCGAGCATATGACTGTTGTTGTGTTAGAAACTGTTTTACAATGGATTATATACTTTTATTGATTCAGGTTGAGTAATTGAAACTCATCTATGTTTCTCGTCAAGTGCTTTTAAAATAATCAAGATAATTTATTAGTCAGTTTAAACTTACACACAGAGAGCGGATGCGAGTCGGGTCGGGTCGGGTCGGGTCGGGGCTGCGGCGCGCGGCATCTTCCTTATATAAATACACTGAATTAGACCCGCCGCTGTGATGACCCGACCCGCGCTCGTCTCACACCCGCTCTCATGTGTTTCACGCTTATAATGATGTAATAAGGTTGACACTTGGGATTCCTACAGACGAAAAGGAATCCGTGTTAAATTTACGCGGCACCGGCATCAAATTGTTGCCTAGTCATTGTCGGACATTATTATAAATTCAAATAATCTTAAAAAAATGATTTATTGAATTTACCAGGCATGTGGGATTCCGCCACATGTAAATATGTTCAGAAATATGCGATACATAACTATTAATCACATATATTTGCAATGAAATCTATTTTTACTAAATTCCTTAGTTATCGGTCTCGTTGTAAATAGCCAAAAAGTATAACTGAGATTGTATCTATATTTCGTACTATCTATGAACTTAGGAGTAACTACCAATATAATGTTTTATGTTTAAAAATTTCGTTTTATTTCGTTCCTTGAGAAATGAGACCTAAGACCTCAGTCCGGCGTAATTCGTATTAATTATACTAATAACATGCAGTAGCCGAAATCCATCGAGTCTAACCGTGATCCAAAAAGCCAGTAAATTGTTTTGATTTGTCAGTTACAAACGATTTTAAAATGACGTAGGCCAAACAATCGTATTGTCATACAATAAAATGAAGACAATAGAATTATTTTTAGATTTTGAAAAATATTGACCCTAGGATAAAATGATTAAATAGTTTTTTCATTATTTTTGAAACAAGGAATTCATATATTTCGAGTTCTTAGGTTTACGCGATTGTTACACATGGGAGATGAAACTATGTTTCCGGATTTAAATCGCGTATATTTGTTTTTTCAAACAAACTTACACGTATTATTAGAATGAACATCAAATGCTAAAGAGGCCGTCGTGCGGTCTAGGATTGTTTTAATTATCGAATGACGCAAGGAGTAGTGGTTTAAGAAGTTGGCTGATAAAAAGAAAACACGAACTAGGTACCTACTTTTATACTTTGTATTTTGGACTGTACTAAGCCTGAGATACTCTTGAGAAGGTTAAAGAAAGGATAAACCAATATTCACCATGATGGTTACTAAGCATCGAAATTTTGCAAACATAGAAACTAAGTGTCGTAGTCTGTCAGTTTCGTATTACATTTTATAGTTTACAGTGCACGGGTTCTTAAACTCTACATTGTCAACCCAAAAGTGCCCAATTTCGTGTTAATTTTCCAAAACAATAAAATATTTTCTTTTGAATCAGAAAAACCATAACTAGCAAAACAAATTCGGGTTCATTTACACATATTTGTTAAACGAACAGGAAACTATGAAAATTAAAAATTTAATATGAACATGCTTCTAAACGAGAGCTATCTCACCGCACTCGCTTAGCAGCCAATAATATGAAAAGGGGTCCCTATTATTTTGTTATTATACATTCAGCGCAAGGCAATACGAAGCTTTTATTTAATACATAACAAAATTGTTATCGAGCATTACAATTCTAATAAAAATCAGTACCAAAAACGACAATGGACATTAGTAACTCTACCCTGACGCTCATTTATTAATATATGTATAACATATATGAATACATTCATTTTAATCAATTCTTTATGCTCTTGATGAACTGAAAACGAAAAAGCAGAACACTCTTGAACTTATTCTTGATGTAGACAAATTATCTTCCATTTTTCATGTTGGAAATCGAAGTAGTGAGATGTTCCAGCCGTGAGATACCTATAGAGACGAGCTTTTGATGTGGTTTATGAACAAAAGCCCGAATCTACAGGGTAGATCACGAATGTGCGAATTATTCTTGTTATAAGTCTTCTCTCTGTAACGCTGTAGTTTTTCTTCGACGACGCGTAGAACCACTGTACTATAATTTGACTCGACTCTCCGAACATGAGACGATCAATTTTAATGCTGACGGTATGTATAAACGTATATACGTACCGACTCTACAAGAGTTCACATTAGACTGACTAGATGGCGTCAGTCGACTTTTCGTAATGATCGGTCTGTTTTCTTTTTAATTTATTGGCTCTACGAAAATAGCATTTGAGCCGACTAAATTATTTTTTTTACTTTCAATTAATTATTGCAAGATTACCGTAATAAAGATAGCTAAATAGTTCTAATACGAAGTAATGAAACAAAGATGAGGAGAGGACATTTAATTTATGTGGGACAAGGTGAATATGTACCTACAATAATTTATACTTCAATAATTTTGTGAGTAATCATAACACACAATAATAATACATTCTACCTATACATACAATAAATTGCACTTTCAATAACATTATTAATAATAACAACGGTATCAAAAAGGTTTTTTTTAAACTAAAGAAAATAACGTTTCAAATAAAACTAATAACATTATTTTGATTAAATCAACTTGTCATAATTGGCTCCAGACATCTAATGATCAATCTCTGATGATCAAAACGGTTAACAAACTTATTTGTAAATGCATGGCGCCCCTAAGAGTCGACACAACCTTAAATGGCTTTGGTGGAATCAATTAGAGACGAAACGGATATCCAGTAATTATCCGGTATCCGGTCTTTTTTTACCATCCGGCCGGATACAGGATGTTTAAAACTGAGATGTATATCCAGTACGCCAAATAAATTTGTTTATTAATTAAAGATGATAGTAATAGAATACACAGCAACTACAGTTACGTTAACAATCTGTTTATTACTTGTGACTGAAAGAACTATGAAGTTAGAGAGTAACGTTATCTGTAAATTTACTGTACTCAAATTTCAAGGCCCATTATGGTGGATGAAGACCAGTTTTTCTGCATTAAGTGGTAAAAGTTAGTGATATTTATTTTCATCAATAGATCCAACTTTGCGATTTTTTTACTGTTAACATTTTTCTATTATGTATTTTTTTGTATTATCGAATAAATTAATGGTTTTTATAAAAACCAAGTGACCACAACAAATCAAATCGTCAATATGAAAGTGCAATCATTCACTAATAAATCAATCACGGTGATGCGCGCTGTAAATCGGTTGCGACATGTTTACGGCGCGGCAGTGCGACAGATTTACGGCGGCCGGATATCCGGCTATCCGACCTAGGTGCTCGCGGGATTTCCGGCTATCTGGTTTAGGTGCTCGTCGGATATACGGCCAAATCACTATCCGTTTCATCTCTAGAATCAAGCATAAAAATGAAAGTGTTGATCAATCAACTTGGAAAAATTATATAATAAAATTGAGGATATTATGCACTGATTAGTATACAGTGTAAAAACACGATTCCTAAAAATTTTCACGATACAAAGCAACGCAAACTTTTTTATAAGTAAACCGCTGTATTCAATGGGTGTGTTACATATATCTTAGAGGACGGAATTTTTTTTTTAATATCAACTGTACTAAATAGAACACGTTAATAATAATAAAATTTGGTTTATTAAGGTAATATGGACCCATTTAGTGTTAGTGTCAGTCATTTAGTAGTATATTATACGCATTGACTTACAAAAGTCAATGATTATACGTTATACATTTTTCAAATAGTTGTAATCGTTTGTAAAACACTTAATTCTGAAACATTGTTCTGAAATAAAGCCAGTGTCCCTGCCGCTCGACTCGCGTAATTCAGATTCCAAATTTGAATTCGAGGTAAAGTAGTATCGACCACAGAACTATTATACTTTGAGGAGGTATCGACTCTATAGCACCAATCGTTTTGTAGAAAGGGCTTAAGCGACATTTCGTGATTTCTCAGGGCAGCATGTTTAAGATTTTCTCGATTAAAGTCACAGACTACTTAGTGAACATAGATCATACACTCTATAAACTACGATCAAAGTACACTACGTACTTTAATCGTAGTTCGCTAAAGTCAATTTGTTACTTAACTAAATGTAAACACAATCTTGATACGTCTTTCCCTTTACAACTCCCTTGACTATTATTTTTTTCCATCCTCTAAGCTGCAACTACATTCATAATCCAGCATTACGCGGCAGACGGCAAGGCGGACTGCAATGCTGACAATGAATCCCCCTTTTATGTATGCCTCATGTTTGTAATACATTGCGGCTTTTACCTGATGCGATATATTTGTGATCCTTTGTTAATACGCTATGAATATCGAACGGACGCACGTTTGTATAATGCATTCAATTTCATGGTACGGCCGCTTGTACGGACAACGGCATTTCAGACTACACATTTTTGTTCGAAAATCGCCTCCAGTGCAACGGAACAAGATACGTCAATCTGTAGCTTGATGTGCTGGCGTGTGTACATTCTTTTGGCCTAATTTAAGTGATGTATACGTTAGGCAACATTGTTCTAGATTCTGATCGATTTTGAAAACAAAGTAATTATGACGTATTAGGACGAAAATTATTATGACCTTAGCATTATTATAAAAATATTCTATAACTCTTTTGTTATAACGTTTAGTAACGTTTCGTTTTTTTTTTCTGTTTTATAGTATATATTATCAGTAGTATCTGTAATTTCGATAATTTTTTCAGCACGTTGCCTCGAATGTCCGAATATAGTGAGCAAATAATTATATACATCGAAGGATATGTAGTACCAGTAATACAAAAAATATAAAATGCGAAGAATGTAACAGTGCGCTGTCTTTACAAACCTGGAGATAGTTGTACGTATGAGTTCGTTGCTTTCAAGGACGAAGGAGGTCTAGTTTATCCCACCAAAGATGCTATCCAAATATGCAGAGTAGCAGAGTTAGAAATCCGAGAAACCATGATCAAATCACAAAAACTTTACACGAGGACGACTTTAAGTAAACCTCTTCTGATTAGTAAGATTTTACGATATTTTATCAGCAGTAACATTTTCAGTTGTCTTGCCATTCAGCAATTTGATCAATCACCGACGGAAAACCATCTAGTAAATGTAATTAAGGCCGTTGCAAGTTCACATATTGATATGCGTTTTCATTATTTAAGTCAATCGATAAGATCTTCTATTGCAAAAAGACGGTTATATATAATACGCTTATTTTATTTCAAGGATATTTTAATATTTGAAGTTGATTAAAAATTAAAGATTAAATTTTTAAGTAATCAAATTTTTTTTAAACAACTTGTATTAAAGGACATAACTATCTTGTTTTGGTATTTTTCTACTATATTAATATTTCACGACTACCTGTAGTCAACGAATATTTGAATCGATCAATTGAATCGAATACGTGTATTCCGTTCAATCAATCGATTTAGCGCGAAAGGAGGTTCCTCATCACTAAACAGTTCTTGTGACGTCATGGTGGATACATAAAATGTGGCACGCTCGGTTTTCATACAAATTGCTGTACTTGCGGCGTCTATGTCTGTGTCTGTGGTAAATCTTTTTATTTCATGATTATGAAAAAAGTGCAGAATGTCAAAAAAGGCAATTATTCGATTAGTGGAAAATTAGAAATCGATAAAAATGATTATATTTATTTTTTGTAAACAAAAACATGCTTGCAACGCCGTTGCCAACATGCAGATCAAAATTTGTAAGCTCATGATTGGTTTGAAGTCTGTATTGTGTTGGCATCGTGTTAGCATCGTGTCAATGTGTTGCGTTTGTGTGAATGCGGCATCCCATGCATAGACAACTACGCGGGCAGCCGAGTATCGAAAATCGAGTAGAGCGAGACTGTTTGCCTCCTTCATTTTATCTATGAGTGAGACTTTATTTCATATTTCATTCATTTCATCTGTGTGTCGATTTTTGGTTTGGTGGAAGGATTGTCGAAATTGATAAGTTTGTTTTGCCTCAAAAATATGGTCTTATTTTCATAAATCTTAAATTGGACAAGAGATAAGAAAATTGTAATTCAAAAGTGAAATTTAAAAGATTGCAGTTTGTAAGAGTAATCTTAATAATTCCGGAGAAACAAGTCGTAAAAATGAAAAGTGCCTCTTTAAGAGCATTGTTTCATGCAATTTTACTGGTCTCCGATTAGAACCGTAAAACTTTTGTCGAGGCATAGTTACATGTACGCAGCGGGAATGACAATAATGGCAGTTTCTGTTGGGGAAATTTGCGAGAACACCAAGCTTGCTCGAGAGATGGCCCTAATGGGAAACTACGATTCCGCGTTAGTGTACTACGAAGGCACTGTCCAGATGATCCATAGGCTCCTCATCACCATCGCAGATCCCACTCGAAAGTCCAAGTGGCAATTGGTAAGTGATTAAAATCCTTTTGGCGGTTTTTTGGTATTTCGCCTCAAGTAGAAGCTGCTTGCCTTGAATGTAGTGACATTACCTTTTATGATAAGAGGTGGTAATTAGTTTCGCCTTTGGGAGTTGGAAGGCCACCCACTGAGCATTGAAACAGTTCTCCATGCTGCATAATTTCCCTACATGGTTTAATGTGATAAGGACAGGTGTCTATGTCATATATTTTGTTTGTCCAAATGAGTAATTTAAAAAAAACTGTTACACATGTGTTCTGTACGCTGCCTTCTTTGCTTCTTGCTTATTTTATTTTTTTTTAATCTTCATCATAATGTTGATACTGATTGAGTGTTATATTCTTAGTTTGAAACATTTTGTTTTTGTGTTATAAAAATAATAATGTTATTAAATTAGCGATTTATGTGAATGACAAGGGCCTTGAATTGCAGATAATTTGGCTTATGATCATTCTACTGTGTATTTGACACCCGTCACATTGATTAGAAGGTATTTCTAAATCTAGCAACAAATGTCATCAATTAATACATTATAATATTATGTTTACCTTTCTAAACTTGTAAATATGTTCAAAAAAGGTATATTTTAAGATAAAATAATACTTGTAATTACTATTGAATGGATGGACCTTCATAAAACCTGCTAGTCTGAAACCTCTTCCTAACTATTGTTTTTCTCGTTGTCTGTAACACGTTGCAAGTGCAAACATATCATCCCACCTGTTTCAAAAGGTAAACCACCTGTGAAATAAACAGACATTACAGACTTCCACAAGTTATGCTTAGACATTCATGAGTACCCCATAGCTGTTCCAGATTGTCTATGAATACTACTCTAGTACTTTAGAGAGGAGCTTCCATAATAGGGAGTCACCCCGTCATATACTTTTTGTGCATTGAAGGGCCCTTTTTCTTTTCTAGTTGCATAGAACCATTACAGCTATACTATAACTTTTACATTACATTTGGTGATCATCATGATTGATAACTTTCCACGTAATAAGGAGTACAAGGCTTTGCTGAAAGCATGATTAAATTTGCCCATGGTCTATCCCTGCTGTGATGGGAAAAGGGTGTGAAATATGTGATTTACAATATTGCATCATTGTCATGTGTAGTAAATGTAAATAAAGCTCTTTATTGGCATAGGTGTTACCTTACCAATTCTTTGTTTTTTTAGAATTAGGAAAAACGTAAACAAAGAAGCAGTAATCGTAAACCTTTTTCTTTAGTCGACAAATAAGTAAACAGTAAAGGAATACATCCCGAAAATTTATGACTACTGAAATTTACAAACGACATGATAGTATGTTTATAATTTATGATAAGATCAGTTAGTGTTTGGAACCTCTGTTCCTTTAAGTTTTTTATTATGCAGGTCTTTGAAATAGATTAAGTATGTAATGTTACACATTTTTCATTTAGTATCAAATTAATACTACAAGTAGGGAAAATCATAATAATTACATAAAGGTAGTATCTTAGTGTATAAGACAACTTACAGTATTTATGAAATTGCCTACAAAATGGCTCAATTAAATTGCACCTGATAAAAGACCTGCTCAAAAACAAAGCAGTATAGCTACAGACACGTGGTACTTGTCAACTTGTGTTTCAGGATGACGGGCTCAGTGGCAGTGCCCCTCAGATCTTTGCGATTTAAAGCTTGTGAGTGGCACTGCAACTGCTATGGACAGGAGTGTCACTTACCACCCGCACACAACTTGTTCATCCTGTCATATAGTACGATACTGGACTCAGTCCAGTGTAATACAATATTTTTTATTATCTTAAAAAGTAAAAGCCTTTCTACAGTGTTCGTTGATGGAGGATTAAGCAAGAAACTAGTGTGCTCAGGGCTTGGAGCCAGATGTTTAGAGAGGTGGTATATAAAAGGCTATGATATATGATGTTATATGAAACCCCAATAGTTTAAGGCTGTTGAATATTCGCCTAGCTCAAACCTTTACTAGTTCATCTACCACCTGTGATATGTAAGTGGCCTGGAATCAGACTGTTCGTGATTTCAACCTATGCCTAATGGTAATGTTTTAATGACATTTAATCATATTTAGTAGCAGTAGAGCTCCTTGTAAGAAATTGTCCAGGGAATAACTGGCACTACTATTTCTGCCGCCAAGCGGTAATGTGTTTTTTTAAAGTAACTTATTCTTAAGGCTTTTTCAATAGAGAATGAACCTTATTCTTATGACTTAAATATTTAAAAGCAGTTTGTTTGACTTCACATTGGATGTTTATGTAGGCCATGGTCTACTACAGTCGTACCTGTGCAAATAGATTTTTCCAGTAGTAGTTGGCATGTGTGGCACAAAACTTTTTGCATAAATTTTGGATGTAAACACATGGGCAAAATTTTAAAATGTCATGCATGCGAAGATGACTTGTAAAATAGGAATCCAAGGTTGTTAGTAAGATGAAAGTTCAATAGATGACTCAAACTTCTGTGATGTCAATTCACAAAGACGTGTATTATTTGGATCATGTTCATGTCAATAACCCCTGTTTACTAACAGTGTCTCCTTCCACAATCGCTATTTGCAAGTCTTTGAAAATATGCAAACATCCTTTATGTGGTTCATATTTCAAATTGAGTCACATAGTTGAAGGAAGATGTGTAGATGATTTAATACTAATGTCCACTTGCACTAAACTTAAGTATGTCTTGGTAATTGATAAGACATACAATGTATTAAGATTCTTCTTCTGTCTTCTGCATTGTAAGCATTGGTTTAAGGCGTACTAAAATTTAGTACAAGTGGACATAAATATTACGAACATTTATTTAAAGTATACGCGGCATATTTAGTGGAACAAAAAAGTAAAATTATAAAATAGCGATGTTTATATTTATATAAATAAGAAGTAGATATAAAGTAGCAATCAAATTGACATCTTTTAACATCGATTTAGTACAGTAAAAAAAATCGAAATTAAACAAAATGCATTTTTTTAAACATTGAAACTGCAACATTGTAAAGTTGTCTGAAAATGTAAAGTAAAACGTTGAGCATTTTCCATACGCCATTTACAGACTTACAGGGAAGTTCAATTATGAATACTTAATTAGGTCGAAACAATACGATGTTTTCCTTCTTTGATTTAGTTGTGACAAACTCACGCGTGTTACACGTGTGTGATTTTACCAATTTTATTCCTTTGCAAGGTACATTTTAATAGGTAACTAAGTTGTGGATGAACTCCGGAGTTTTTCCTTGTGTAAGTATTGAAAATATTTTTTTGAATTTGTATTAATATTATAAAGCCAAGTTATAATTTCGTGTTGTTCTAGCTAATGTATAAGATCTCTTCTTATATGAAGGCGAAGGCGCTTTAAGCATATATTTTAGTTAATTCCATTAAGTGAGTTAGTGTTCGGTCAATATTCCTTGCATTGAAATGCAGCTTAAGAAATAAATTGTTGAATCATTTCAAGATGTGACACTACAAATTCAACGATGCGTATATGGACAGAGCAGTCGCAATGACACACGGCTTTGTGACGCGACAGGTGTGTCTGATGCTGTAAAGAATTGCCACGGGGCTAGTGCAGCGCGTTGTCAAAGTAATTTCTGTACATTGTGGTGCCACGCTACAATGCCGTGGGACATTGTCGCTGACAAAGTCGACTTTATTTGACACTTATTGCGATCGTCAACTCTTCTGCTAAGCGAAGCGTGCAGACGAACTATAGCAATTTTGAAGTGTGTTGTTTGTTTATATTTGGAATTAAAGCGTAATTTTTATTTTGAAATATGCAGAAGGTGATTTTTCACTTTGCTCACCGTGCACGACTGTACAAACAGACTTGAGTGATGACAATATTGTAATTATAACGTACAATCTTTATATAATGCAAATAATCCATTATTCGCATTGGACGTTAACGCGAAGTTGTTAGTAGGCAAACCTAGTTCTTCAAAATTCCGCATCATGATAAGTGTTGTTAACCAACTTGGAAGTTTATACATAGCTCAAAACTTTGCCTTCGGATTTCCAATTAGTCACAAAGTCACAAATGATACGCTAATTAATATTAATTTACCAAGGTCAATGATTTCCGCCCACAGTTCTTGAGATGCCTTTTTTGCCAACGGCACATTATCATTATGTACTGTCAATTTGTGGCCCGAAATCTCGCCATTACAAATAATTGTTTTTTCTGGGTACATGAAGTTTTGTACGCCTTTAATAATTTTTTCGACCGCGTACAGGGCGTCATTATCATCCGGTGGCGTGCTTCTTGAAATTAGCTGATATAAATCCATAAAGATAAACACATAAACACTCTATTCACTAACTAGTTGGTTCCCGCGACTTCGGCCGCTTAGAATAAGTATTTCGAGTAGCCTGCAGCCTGTTGTACTACTTAGGGTGCTAACAGATTGTCTGCATGTTTGCAGTTAATGCGTGAAGACGTAATGTCAGCATTACTGTGTTCCGGTCTTGAAGGGTAAGGGCGCTGGTGAAATTACAGGCACATGAGACTCGTCAACTTACGTCACAGGGTGACGGGCGCAGTGGCAGTGCCCCGCAGATCTTTGCGATTTATAGCCCTGAGTGGCACTACAAGAGTTATGGACAGACGTGTAGCTTACCTTTAGGCGCACGCCTTGTTCGTCACATAACTTGATATTATAAAAAAAGAAAATCCACTTCATACAGTGGAAACGTTGACTGCAGTTGATAACGACATCACGCATTAACTTAAAATCGCTACCAACTTCATGCAGTTAATGCATGAAGTCGTAATCAACTGCAGTCGAGGTCTCGGCTGTTGAAGTACATTACAACTTCACGCATTAACTGAAAACAAGCAGCCAATCTGTTAGCAACCTTACTCGAAAAATTATTGTTTCACCACCACCGTGGTATCTCCTCGATGTTCTCTCATCCCTTATTTCACGTCTTTTAAGATTTATTTTTGTCAAAAATAGTAGCCCATGCCCTTCTACGTCCCATCTATCTCTA